ATAAAGACTTAATCTATCTCAAATTGCATCTAATGTGTCTTTCATATATAAGTTTTAAATTGTGAATTAATGTAAAAAAGATTAAGATTAAGAGATGAAGAGATCCTTTATTTGTCCCACTGCGGGGAAATTTCAAGAAAAGGAAGTCTTTTAAATAATTTTGATTTTTTCTCTAAAAGTTTCACCCATTACGCTGCCTGAAAAAACGAGTTACCACAGCTTACCGACACTGGCCACCTCTGAAATGTAGCACAACACTGCTTTTGAAAGTGTCTGTATGGGTGTTTTAGAGACTGAGCCTGTTTCCCTGCCTCTCCTGAGACCTGAGAAGCATTTGTTGACAACAGCAAAGGGGTGCTATGGTTTCTCCAGCGACCTCTTGAGATTTCATCCTGTTTTCTTTCACACATGGGTCTATAATGATCCCAAGTCATCGGATCCAAGCGGTGCCGTGAACTGTCATAGGTGTCATAAGACCTAATGCTTGTTCAATTTTCTGCATGCTCTTCTGTTTGAACATATCTAAATATATCCCTGGAGATAAGCCATGCAATACCAGTGGGATGCTACAGGGACTTTCACAACAGGCTGTTCATGAACGGGTCACCTGTTGAAAAGATCTATCTGTTTTTTTTTACTTTAGAAATATTGACATTATGATAGAGTTCACATATCAAAATAGATAAGAGTAAGGTTACTTCTGTTTGCATCAGATACTGTAAACAAATATTATTGGAGGAACTAGAGGGGAACAATAACCTCCCTTGTTGGACTCATGGACCTCTATAGGCCTCATCACTGGTTTCTTCATGAATCTCGATTTCTGAATGTTGTTGTTATTGAGAGCTATATAAAACTTTGACAACTTCAAGTACGTCCAAGACTTCCAGAGCTGAATCTATTATCTCCTAAATGTACTTTTAGATGAAGGACTTGAGTCACAGCCGCACTGTCTATGTGAAATACAAACCGTTTTGACAATTTCCCAGAGGTGGCAAATTGGGTGCTACTATAGTTTCAGGTAACAAAAAGTATGAATATTTCAAGAAGAATATACTCTAAAAGTAAAGAAATACAGGCTTTTGTGTACTTAAAAAAGTATAATGATTTTTTGTTAAATAATTACCCCTCATTCTGACAATATTCAGTATATTAAGGAAAGCATTTTTTTTCCATATATAGCAAAGAGAAAAACTCTAGGTGGGCTACCATTTTAAGACCCCTACCTATGTCTGATAGCTAACAGCATTTTTGTTAATCTTCACAGCCAATACAAAAATGTGGCGTATCCGTGTATCTCTCTCCTCCCGAGACAATGTGATCTGTTTCTTACACAGCTGGGCCATTGTGCTTCCCTCCTCATGCAGATTAGATAAAATGGCCAAACTCCCTGACCCTCGCAGCCGCTCTGGTCCTATCACAGACGGGACACACAAAAAATAGTGTCACGTTTTCCCCTGGCTCTAATCAAGTGAAGTGAAGGTGTTGCCAGGAAACAGTCAGGTGAAAGGGTTTTGTATGTGAACTTAAATGACATGAATTCATTGTACAGTACAGGGGTATTTTTGTAGAACTGTAATCTGCTTAAAGGTGTCCCGGTGGTGGGCCTGTTTTCTTTCTCTAAATGTTATATTGGATATTCATAATCCACTGTCATTGACTTTGGAAACAAGGATGTGATTTTCTAAGCTATTCTCATACTATTGTTGAGTCAAACTGTTGGTTTTGTTAGATTGGTAAATTGTTGATAATAATATGTTCATCAAGGAAATAAAACTAAAACAGGCCTAAGATAAATGTTTCACACATTTGAGAATATTATTTAAAGTGAGTACTAATTATCTTCCACTGACTAGCCCTTTTGCATGTTTTGACTTGAGATTTCTTATCATTAGTTTTAAAAGCAGTGTGTTAAGGTCATCTTTCTTTGCCTGCTACACTATGCCTTCTGCAGAGATGTCTTTTGTTCATTAGATATATTTTTCAGGCTGATAAATCCCAGACATCTGGCCCCTGATCCTTATTGTGATTGTTTTTGCTGCCATACTAACCTCATGAAAAAAGTGCCTTCTCACAATGTATGCACCGCGGTTAGTTCTGACCTAAATATTGTAATCTGCAGAAAAGCCTCCGGACAGTGCATGCATGCGTGTTTCTGAGGGTGGGGGTGCGTGGTGTCAGCCTGCGCGCTGCTCTAGACCACACGCCCACCCACACATTACATAACCTCACGTTCCTCCTACAGCCCAAACTTTGCACAAACAGGCACAATGGCAGATGTTTGTACTTTAGTACTTGTCAACGTAGTTTTCCTTAGTCCATTTAATTAAACCACCGGTTTAATTATTTATTGGCAGATATCACTGAACTGTCTTGAATCTTCATGAACTGTTAAGAGTCAACCAAGATGCTAGAAGCTCCATAGTTGTTGAAAGTCTGGGACTTATAACATGCTGTTCCGAGGCGCCTCCACACTCAGACTGCTGATACTGCTCATACTGCTCATACTGCTGCGTGAGCAGACAGATGCTGTTTTTATGCTGCACTGATTGGAGCCAAGACTGAGACTTGTCCAAATGACAAAACAAGCATTTTCTAGTATTTGCATGCAGTATTACTACATTTGAATAATTATTTCATCATTCTTGGCTGCTTGTAAGTATTTGAAACAGGTTCTACTTTGTCCAAACATGTTGTGGAGTCTTGGAAACAAATAATGTAATGATATGAGCGTGCATGCAGGTTCTCATTACTGCAGTAACAAGACAAGACACTATTCCAGCTCCACATGACACCAGTTAAACCTCACAAACAAACATTCAGGTTGGTCTGAGTGCTCAGCTCCATTGTCCAGGGCCTTATTTAAACATTTTTTACAGTGCGTGTGTGTCGCCTCGTGCTGTAGGCATGGCCACTCACATGTTTGCTCTTGTTAATTTGAGTCTTTCTGGATTTTGATCCTTTGACCGTCGTGAAATTACTTATTGCTATGAAGCAACAAACAAGGGCACTGCCCATGGTTTACTCAACTGAGATGGACTTTTAATCTGCCAACTGAAAGATCACGCACACATCCATGAGTGCCAGAGCAGCAGAGACTGGACTTGACAACCTCGCTCCAAAGAAATGGATCAATGCAAAGAGGAAGCTGTGAGCAACACTCACAGCTTCACCTGCCATAGGCGACCCAACAGAGTACTTCATATTCTGTCACTTTATTCTCACTGGTATTTGTTCAATCTCTGGAACACACCAAATGTTAGTAATATGGAAGTTTAACTAATGTCTTTGTTAATTTTAACACGTAACTGTAACAAATCACCTGAATAAAATTCCCCCTAATAACCCCCTATTAAAAGGGAAGAATGACTTGTTTGAGAATCCCAAGCCTCTTTTCACAATATTCTAACCTTTAACAGAGGGATTTTTGTTACATTATACAAGTTTGATATAGTTGTCTGGTATATTTTTCAGAACAAAATGAATTCAAATAGTTTTAATTATTTTTTTTACCAACACAGAACCTGAGGTAACAGAAGGCTTGTTATTGTAGATAGGCTAATTTAGTTCGGCCTCAAATAGATTTCCTTGGGAAATTAATAACTTGGTACTTTATGGGAGATCAACTAACTATATCTATGCTGCCCGTCAAGAATTGAAAAACTTTCCAGGGGTAACTTGAAAGGAACTGCCTGCCTGCCTGCCTGGTTTAGTTCATTATGAACTGCTGGAATGAGAAGAAAAAAACAAAAACAAAAAAAAACAGTATACTGTAAATCCACATGGTGCACGGCCTAATTGCATTTAGGGGGACAAGTACACATTACCAGAAAAAGAATGCTCATACTATGGATTAATTACAATACAGTACCACGCTTTGACCATCTGCCAATTCATCTGACCCAAATTATCAAACTGGGCCAACACTGACCAGAGTCTGAATCCTTTTGTCCAGTCCTTCATTAGTGAATATTAGAGTGGTCATAAACATGAACCAGCCATGTGTGTTTGATCTTCAAAAGTGTTTGTCCTCATTCACTAGATGCCCTTCACTGCTGTCCCTTTGAGAGGAAAATCTCACCCGATTGGTTGCTCGTGGTGGTGCTGTTGCTAGGGGAGGGGTGTAAAGCGCTGAGGCAACTACTTTGACATACAAAGAAGTGAAGCCACTAGAGGCCCTTGCATTTAGGAACAAATCCACAACTGCAGCCCCTGGGTCCAACTACATTTGCATAAATCAAATGCTTGAAAATTGTTCCATGATGATTTACTTAGCGAGACTGAGATCTAAAGAAAGCCAAAGCTCTGCTTAATAAAGCACCTAAGCCCTTCAGCCAGATTAACACAGGTGTTCTATATCAGTCAGTGCTAGAATAAATTGTGCAAACATTTTCCAAATAAAGTTGCAAGACTAGTTACATTTCCAATTATTTATTTCAGTGTAACTGCGACTTGTTCAAAATATAAAAAAACCATTAAAAATAAAGTTTTAATACCATAAAATTTTAGACATCTGGAACCATAAAGGAAACTGAACAGGGCATGAAGATGACATACAAAAAGTCAAGGCACACCATGTTACAGCAACACTTGGTGGAAATGACTGCAGAGCCATCAGCTCAGCTTTAAAACCAATAAAGGAGGGACCGAATAACCAGCATTCATCTTTCTCCATACGATCAGAACCGCTTTCCACAACCACTTTCTTTGGGTGACATTGTTAAATATAAAATTTTAATAATTTAGCTGTGCTTCATCTGGACAGACTTATTAAACCTCTGCCAAGTCCTAAAATGGACCGCTGCAAAACCAAACATGCAGGCGTCACTGGTTTGATAAAAGAGTTTACTGGGAAGTCAGGAGCAGCAGGACAGGGCTGGAGTGCATCGCGTTAGACATTTCAGAGTGGTCGTCTTTTTGTTACAGTCACCAGTTGGGAACAATGTGCCCTTCTAGCAACAAGCAAAAGTGCAAACCAGTCCAAACACAAGTGTCCACCATTATCTCATGAAGTTCCCTCCTCCGATCTCTCGCTTGTATCTGTTGGTGAGGTGGTCTGCTTGTACTGTGAGTTTAGACAAGACGCCAAACAGTCCCCTGAGATGATAGTGAAACTGGTGCTCCAGGTCAGAGTTGTCCTCTTGAGGCAGCTCTCCGGTCACAGGCTGCTGCTTCTCCTCCTGTTTCATTGCCATTTCCAGGAAGCTGGCACCACTGCTCATCTCCCTCTTGAGCATACCCCATTCCATGTCGTTCTTTATAGATTTGAGCAGCAGGTAGTGCTCGTACATGTCCCGTTGTTTATTGGGACATGGCATTTGGTTGTTGTTCGCTTCCACTTCACTCTTCAGCTGCTCCTCCAGTGGCACGTCTCGCAGCAGGCTTGGCACCATGATGGTCTCGTCCATGTTATTGGCAGCTGCGATGAAGCGATTCATCACGTTCAGGAGCGAGTGCTTGTTGCAGGCCGGGTCGCTGATTTGCATCATCTTGAAGTTTAGGCTTGGTTACAGTTTGGCTGGCAGGTGAAGTTAAGGCGGCTGTTCTGCAATAAAAAAAATATATATTTTAAATTAACTCTTCATGATTGCGTAAGATGCTTTAAAAAAAATAAAATAAAGAAAAGAAATATTATACATGCACGTACAGTAACCTTTACAGTAGTTAATAAGAACAAAAACACTGCGAAACGAATAGGTTTCCTGACAGCGCCTGCACACGAGCAGTAGGCCACGGCATCCATTACCCACCGGCTCCCCTCCACTCACAGCAGAGCGTTACATTGAGACACAACACTGCATCTTGACTTTACCTGGGTAGCAACGACAAATCACATAAAACAGACCACAATAAGACTGAGTGTCTCACCTGGAACGCAAGATAACGGAATCTTTTGTTGACGTGTTATGTTTCTGAAGCTCCTCACGCCACCCGCCAGGAAGGAAAGTAGATATTTCCCCAACCAACGTCTCGCTGAAATCGTTTTTATATGATGCAGCCGGTGAAGGGCGGAGCTCGAACTGTGTAGCTGCTGATGATTGGTCGTTGCAATTCATATGGGCGGGTCGAAAAGCGGCTGATCCACCCTAGCCAATCACCAGAGCCGTCAATCAAACTAAAACAAGTATATAGGCGTTTCCATGGCCACAATTGTGTCCGCACCCACTAAAGTAGCATTTGTTACTAGTAACTTTACATGGATGAAAGACTACCAAATGTTTACTCTTCACAACATATTTGCTTACATTAGTTATGGCTCGGTTTGATTAAGGAACAGATAATTTGGTTAAGGGAATGGCTTTGCGAAAGGTATCGCTACTCAAGTTTAGGGTGAGGTGCGACAGGACCACAGTTGCACTTGCCACTTTGTCCTTATTGAAACAATCTACTGTATACACTGCTAAACCAATACAACAAACATATACTAAATGTTTTAGTATAACGTAAATAAACCATGCCTGTTTGCTGCAAAGATTGCTAGTACTAAACTGCCATCTTGTGGTGAAAAATGATGTTTTGAGCCCATAGAATTTTTGAGTAGTCTGAAATCGGTTGAGCCTCGTTTTGCATGAAATACAGCCGCATCAACATATGCCGAACCATGTAGCACAATATTTTTCAGGTTATTACATTTTTTGAGACATATTAGCATACCTGTCTCCATCTTGGCTCATTCATAGATCTGTCAGTAATGCATGTTAACTATTTTGGTAATTTTAAAGTAACAATCAAGATTCCTCTCATAAAGGGCTTGGATAAATCTGCAGACATGGGGAACAGAAAACATATCTAGACACCAAAGTAGTTACTGAAATAACATTTATAAATGTTATTAATAACTCTAATGTGACCCATATATTTTGTAAGAACATTTACTATTGTTTGGATTTCATACACCTTTTGGACATACTGTTTTCAGAAGTATAGATTACCATATGCAACAAGAATTTATTAAGATTACATACATAATCAACACACTAACACATTTACAATCAGCTCCGTCATCTTTCCATCTTGACCATTTGATCAAGGCGGTGACACACTGAGAGAAAAAATGAACTATTTAACCCTGACAATTGAACTATAGGCACAGAGAACAAAAATGCGTCCCTTGGCAGCAGCGCACAATATTGAACTGGGACCAATAAATGTTTTTACATAACAAACCCTAAATAAATCAAAACAAAACATACTTAACTTAGAATATTGTCAAATTAACTAAAGGTAAAATATAACAAACTAACACATAAAATAAAAGAAGAAAATACAAATGACAGTTGTAATGCCTTTTGAAATGATCCCTCTTGGAACGCCATCCTCTTTATTGGGCACAATAAGGAATGAGGACTTTTCCCCTCCATACTCTATTGAGTCGAAATATTTAAAAAAGCAGCATTCAAATGGTATTCCTTTTTTCTAAAATCCCAGGTCCATAAAAATCACAGGAGTGTTTTTGAATAAGAAAAATCTTAAGAAAAAAATATGAATGCATATGTTACAGATTTAAACACACAAAATGTTGAAAATGTTGAAAACTGACCTGTTTAAACCATCTCATACTGGTTATTGGTTATGTATCGGGACAAACAGCAGGCCAAGAAAATTCCGATGAGCTGAAGAGGAAAAATAACAACATTATTGCCAGTGGTTTTTGAGCTGTGTCAATTGTGACGCACATAAATACTAATGATAGAACCAAACTGTTATGAGTGAGGAACTAGTTAGACGGATCTTATTACATGATTCAATTCAAGCTCACGAAGGAGTGGTTTGATATGCATGATTCTAAAATGTAAACAGTTAAATATTTTCAAACCTGGAAGAAAGCAATTCCAAAAGAGATTCCGGCAATGATTCCCAGATTTGCTTCCATTGCACTGGTCACTTTCAGGAAACATCCCTAGGAACAAAAGGAAATCACACCAGCTGTTCTTGACAGTCAAAGTTACTCGAAGTATTCTAATTAGTACCTCAATGTACACTACATTCTTGGCCTTGTCTGGGATTTTTAGAGTTTCTGCAGTGCAGTTGGAGATGTCTTTACAGCAGCTTGTCGGGAAGCCATTTTCATTGAAGTACGCAGTCGCGATCCAGTCAGTGTAATTATTTACACCACAGCATTGAAGCTGCAAAAGAAAAGAACAGATATGAAAAGCAATAAAGTTACAGTCAAAACGGTGTACATTAGTTTGTGATACCGGTCATAATGTAATCATTTAGTTTAGTTCATTCATTTTTGGCAATTACTTTTAGAAACAATATGGCTGTGCTTGAAGTCCCAGTGGTCGTGTTTCAGATCAGTCTCAAAACTCACGTATGGCTATATTAGTAAAATTAGGTGGTTTGAGGTTATTTGTATTTAAAGAAAAAATATCCATACAAACTTTCCACTATACTTTCTCAAAGCAGTACAGTGCCACATAGAGCTCAAAGTGAAACTAATGTTGCAGCTTTTTCAGAGCACATGTGCGACAGTGTATCATCAGTTTGTTATTGCAATTATACAAACAGACCTAATATCAAAAGGCTATACATTTTTTTAAGGAAGCTTTATTGTAATCCAATGATTCATTTAACTTGAATCATTGTGGACAGAATTCCTAGGTACAGCCAGGGGTCGGAGACCACAGGATTTCATCTCTGCTGTTTGCGGACGATGTCCCGTTGGCTTCAACGAACCAGGACCTGCAGCATGCACTGGGGCGGTTTGCAGCCGAGTGTGAAGCCGCTGGGATGAGAATCAGCATCTCCAAATCTGAGGCCATGGTGCTTGACCGTAAAAAGGTGCCTTGCCCTCTGCAGGTGGGTGGAGAGGTCCTTCCTCAAGTGGAGGAGTTCAAGTATCTCGGGGTCTTGTTCACGAGTGAGGGAAGGATGGATCGTGAGATTGACAGGCGGATCGGTGCAGCGTGCGCAGTGATGCGGTCGCTGTATCGGACCGTTGTGGTAAAGAGGGAGCTGAGCCGAAAGGCAAAGCTCTCAATTTAACGGGTCAATCTTCGTTCCCTCCCTCACCTATGGTCATGAGCTTTGGGTAATGACCGAAAGGACAAGATCGCGGATACAAGCGGTTGAAATGAGCTTCCTCCGCAGAGTGGCTGGGCGCTCCCACAGTGTGAGGAGCTCAGTCACACGGGAGGAGGTTGGAGCCGCTGCTTCTCCACATTGTGAGGAACCAGTTGAGGTGGCTTGGGCATCTGTTCCGGATGCCTCCTGGACGCCTCCCTGGGGAGGTGTTCCGGGCATGTCCCAAAGGGGGGAGACCCTGGGGACGACCCAGGACAGGCTGGAGGGACTATGTCTCTCAGCTGGCCTGGGATTGCCTTGGGGTCCCCCCGGAAAGCTGGAGGAAGTGTGTGTGGATAGGGAAGTCTGGGCGTCTCTGCTTAGACTCCCTGTGACCCGGCAATGAATGAACGGAGGAAAATGGATAGATGGATGGATGAATCATTGTTTCACCCCTACTCAATTACATCACTTTATTGCCTTCTCCAAGTGGCACCCTGCAGAGTCAATACCGTCCAACCACAGGTTTGGGTCGATTGGGGCCGGTTGGTGCAGGAGGGACAGGTAGGCACACAGCCTGTCGCAAGCTAACAGCTGGATTCATATCAACTTATTGTAACAAATGATGATGGACTACCTATGGACTAACTTGATCAAGTTAAGAGGTGTATGCTGCGAAAAACGCTGCTGAGATGGACGGTAAACAACAGACTTACAGTTTTCTGGATGGTATCAACGGCAGTGCTTCTGGTGTCTGTGGCATTGTAGGACTTCACAGCATCTCTATAAGCTCCTCCTAAAGTGGCTTTAATCTGTTCAGATACAAAAACATACACACATTTTTTATTACTTAGAATACATATAATTGCATGATCACTTAAGATGTTATTCTGTAGCTCTCACCTCATGTCTAAAAATGAATCCTGAAATACCCGCCACAAGCTCAGCCAGGAATACCAAAGTTAAAAACATGGCATACTGCAAAATAAAACATTATCAACTGTTAGACAAGTTAGTCCAGAGCCTTTTTGGTTGTTCACCTTGTTCACTCACAAGTTTTAGCATCCATGGACTTCCGCGGCAGGTTGCAAAGCAGCCAAAAAGACCAAAAATGACAATGATGGCTCCGGTTCCAATAAGAACATAAGGTGCATTGGTGCCCTGCTCAGAGGACAGGGACAGATAAGCAAGGCTCACTTTCCCAGAGACGCCGACAGCCAACAGAATCACTCCAGTGAACTGAAAGAACACACACAAACAGTTAGGGCTGACTGCACACAACTCTTAAAGGCTGTATTGTGATCATAAAAACTACAACTATCTTCTGTTCTTTTAGGGTAACTTAACTAATTTTATATAATAACGAATCAGACCACAGCATGATGATTTCATATTATTTGTTTGCATATTTGTATAAAAAATAAAAATAAACCTTTGGCACTATTTAGCACTTTGAGTGAAAAAGCAGATCTAAAAAAACATGACGGGGGTCAATAATGAAAACTGCAAATGAAAACTAGTGATAGAAAAAAACTGTTTTGAGACCAAGGAACTAGTTAGAAGCATTCATCACATCGTATATTCTCATTTGTAGTGGTTCGAGTCATTGACTAACAGAAGAATAATCTGACTAGTGGAGGACAATCTGTCTGACAGCAAACATATACACGCTGGGAAAGTGTTAAAGCTCAAAAGCTAATATATTTGTCCTCACAGAGTGGCTGTCCTTGGACACACCTGTAGTATCACAGGAGTAGTTTATAAGCTCAGCATATTTCTATGAGAGGAATCTGGACAGACGGAGATTCCTCCCACAGCCATTAATGAACAGATAAAAGCAATGAGCTGAACTTTGTGTTTGCAGCTGTTGGTTGTTGGTGCAAAGATCAAGTACAGAGCAGAAACGAGAGATTTCGAAGACAAAACACAGAAAGGATTTAGTGAGGGTTTTTTAAAAGGGATTTTCTTTCTTCTAGGGGACACGTCAGCCCAACTCAAGTCCTGCCTTCCGTGGTTAACCCCCACAATAACATCTAAAAGAGAAAACATCTTTCCCATAAGTCTCCAAATACACTAAACACTGTTGTTCAGTTACGATCAGAGAACAGAGCCAAGTCCTTTGTCTCTCTACGTTTTTCTCCAACACGTACAACAACAACTCACCCAGAAAATCAGGCTGTAGGAGATGAGGAAAGTTTTGAGGCAGGTTATCACGGGCTTCGTCTGGAGCCGCCGAGAGGCGGACGGCATCGTGGCGTTTCCACAAGGACAAACCAACAGACTGTAGACTTTAGAGGGTAGAGTTTACCCCACAAACACGAGAGTTTGGACTTTGGAGGTTAGAGGGTGAATCCCGAATCCAGAGGGGGAAGTGTCGTCACTCACCCATATTCACTTTCCTGCGGGAGGGGCCGCAGCCGCAGCTCAGTGCGCCTGTCTCCCACATCAACTACTTTTACTTTTACTTTTCTTACTCAAAAGTATTTTGAGCTTAATTTTTAAACCGACATATAGAACAATTCAGACTTGTTTGAAAGGTGGAAATAGGACACAGACTGTTGAGTTGTCTACATTGAAAATACTTGTTATTTAAGAAAATCAATTCTAAAATGTTCTAAATGTTTTGTAACAGGTATAAATTCTGTGGTCATAAATCATGAGTGTATCACAAATTCTAAACCACTTCTGAGTTTGCATTACAGCGTCCTCTAGCGGTGCGTCGCCTTCAGGACAAAGGGGCAGAGCTCCGAGTATCTGCGCTGACTAGAAGCACTGGAAAGAGGGGCTTTTTGCCTCCGACAAACGCGGGACGTTTGGGACATCTGACCTACTTTGGAAAGCTCTAGAAAACATCTCTGTTCTTAAATTGCGTTCAGAAGCTCAAGATCTCATCATGCGACTTTTCCAGATCACTGCTGTCCTCATGTTGGTTACAGGTGAGGAAATCTTGTTTCACAGTCATACACACAGTGTAGTCTTGAGCCAACTAAGTGTTTTTTCCCCAAGTCTGATTCTTTAGCGTAACTAAATAAGTAGATCACAATTCAAGCTTTTTAACTGTGTGAAGGGAGAGTGTTTCTGGAAATGTCCCAACAGTTCTTCTTGTTCCAGATGTGATTCGTCTAAGACATCACTATGCACATCCCGCTGACTAAGCCCCTTTTCCACTGCACTTTAAAACTCTGATCACGTGTGAATGTGTAGCATGTACAGTCCTGGAGGATAATGAAGGTTTACAAATGGCTTGTATGATGTAGTGTGCAAGTGTCAAATCTTCTATTAATAAATGGGTTGGATTGTTGTGTTATGGATCCAGTGTGCAAACAAACAAAAAGGTGCATTTCTGCAGCTAATTGAAAAGGCTCATGGACAATAAACATATTGCATTAACCTTATTTATCAGTTACAATCCGTATAAGAACCATTTCTCAGCTTCTTCATAAACACAGAAGCTGTAGGCTGATGACAAACCCAGGTGTCTTTGGAAAGGAATGCTATTCACGCTGCGACTACTTCATATAGTTGTGCATAGTTGTCCTTGTATTTGTATCTATTTATGCAAACAAATCACACACACTAAAAGGGTTGGCAAATATCCAGTGTTGATTGACTTACTTCACCTTTTGGACTTTATTACAGCTGCCTCTGGGGCCTCTGAAGGCTTAGATGTTGTGGAAGACTTCACTCCTCAGCTGGACTACAAAGGTGAGACCCGTGTTATGTTTTGATAGTGCAAAAACTATTTAAAGCCGTGATACAGGCTCAGGTGTGTGTTATAGACCCTCACTGGTGCCACACTCCGGGCCTGACCAATGGGGAGGTGACTTGCCGCTCTCCTCGTGGACCATCCTACCGCAGCACCCTGGGCACCCGCTGTGATATGAAGTGTGACCCGGGATACAGACTCATAGGGAGGGGCTCGGTTCAGTGCCTGGCCTCCCGTCGCTGGTCTGGAACTGCTATTTGTCGCAGTATGTATATTGATATGATGTGTATTTACAGTGTATGTGTTTGATGATCCTGCTCACACTGAGGATCACTGTTTATTATGATGTGTAGAGAAGCGCTGCCATGTTCTGCCCCTTGTTCATCGAGGCCGCTACAGCTGCTCCCAGGGCTTCGTGGCGGACTCCAGGTGTGACTTCAGCTGTGATTCTGGTTATCGCTTCGAAGGGGAACATTCTCGCACCTGTTTGAAGAGCGGCCTGTGGAGTGGGGTCCAGCCTGTCTGCTCAGGTACAGGCCTTTATCATCGCCAAGCAGCACACTGTGTTTGACAAAGATAAAGGACAGTATCTGTTTTGAATGTTTCATACCCTCATACCACAATGAATGACTAAAGATAAAACGGCAGAGAAAAATAGAAAAATAATGACATGCCCCTGGAGATGAAAAATACCCTCACTACCCTAGGTCATTCATTCATTTTCTTCCCCTTAATCCGTTGGCGGGTCGCATGGGCACCAGTCCAAGTAGAGACCCCCATACTTGCCTCTCCACACACACTTCCTCCAGCTCATCCGGTGGAATCCTATTGCGCTCCCTGGACAGCTAGAGACGTAGTTCCTTCAATGTGTCTTGGGTCTTCCTCAGGGCCTCCTCTCGGTGAGACAGGCCCAGATCATCTCCCAGGAGGTATCTGAAACAGCTCCTCCCGATTGTTCTAATACTCCGAGCTGCTCCAGTGTGACTGAGCTTCTTACCTTTTCGAACTACCCCAGCTCCTTTATAAAAATATGCATGCTAGCTGACTCGACATAATTAATGTTACAGTCAATCAACATTATTGTCCATAATATATTCACACAAATAAATGAAACATACACTAGAGCTTACTCCAGCATCATCATCACTGTCCCATCCGCCACAAACTCCCCTCAGGACTAAACACTGAAACACACTCTCAAATTCACTCCCACAACCAATCAGAAACACCGACTCACTACAGAACTTTGAATCACTTGCAATAGGCTCATGGACTACTTCACCAACAAGGTAATGTCAATCCGGTCTGCCCTTCCTTCCACTACCCCATTTCCAACTGACATAATCTTTCCTAAGCCGCCCAACACCTTTACCTCCTTCTTGGATATCTCCCAGTCTGAAGTGGAGAGGATCATAAGCAGCATGAAGCCCTCCACCTGTCTGCTGGATCCTCTCCCCACAACACTTCTCAAATCAAACTTTTCCGCCATTAGCCCATTAATAACAGAAATCATTAACCAGTCACTAAAATCCGGTCAGGTCCCCCCAGCTCTCAAAAATGCAGTAATCCGCCCTCACCTGAAAAAACCTTCACTTGACCCCAACATCCTAGCCCACTACAGACCAGTCTCAAACCTCCCATTCCTCTCCAAAGTCCTCGAAAAAGCAGTAGCAGCCCAACTCCACAATCACTTACGCTCCCATAACCTATATGAGAAATTTCAATCTGGTTTCCGCTCAGCCCACAGTACAGAGACAGCCTTGGTCCGCGTCATGAATGACCTACTCATGACTGCGGACCGGGGCTCACCCTCTCTCCTCCTCCTCCTCGATCTGTCAGCAGCTTTTGATACCGTGGACCACACCATTCTCCTCCATATACTACAATCAGTAATTGGACTTTCACAGACAACACTCAAATGGTTTCATTCATATCTCACTGACAGAACAGAATATGTGTCCCTAGGCCAGTACAAATCGTCAACCCATTCAGTTACCTGTGGGGTACCGCAAGGCTCAGTCCTCGGGCCAACCCTTTTTACAATATACATGCTCCCCCTTGGTCAAATCATAAACAGACACAACATTTCTTTCCACTGCTACGCCGATGATACACAGTTATACCTGAAAATGGACTCCACTTCACCCACAGGTTTTACGTCAGCCCTTCAGCTTTGTCTGGAGGAGATAAAGGCATGGATGGACAACAATTCTCTTCAACTTAACAGTGGTAAAACTGATGCAATCCTCTTTGGCACCCCCCACCAAACCCAGTCCTCCCCTCTCAGCAGTGTTTCAATTTTTGGCCATAACATCCCCCTGTCCACATCTGTTAATAACCTTGGAGTCAGGCTCGACTCTAATTTTACATTTGATACCCACATCCGCCACCTCTGTAAAGTCTCCTTCCTTCACCTCAAAAACATTGCCAGACTCCGCTCCTCCCTCTCACAACCGGACGCTGAGAAGCTGATCCATGCCTTTGTCTCCTCCAGGTTGGATTACTGCAATGCCCTCCTCGTCGGGACCTCTGCAAAGGGTCTGCAAAAACTCCAGTACATCCAGAACTGTGCTGCCCGGGTCCTGACGAGGAGGCGCAAATATGACCACATCTCACCCGTCCTCAAATCACTCCACTGGCTGCCCATCAAACACAGAATACAGTACAAACTCTGCCTCCTCACATATCAATGCACACACGGAACTGCCCCTGCCTACCTCAGTGAACTCCTAACACCACACACCGCCTCTCGAAGTCTCCGTTCAACCACCTCCTCCCACTGCCTGCACCAACCCAGGACCAAACTCTCCACCATGGGAGATAGGGCCTTTCAGGCAGTAGCCCCCCGGCTCTGGAATGCCCTCCCAGAAACCCTCAGGGCCCCACAAAGTGTGGAGGCTTTTAAGAAAGGCCTAAAGACATTCCTATTCAAACAGGCCTTCTAGATATGTACAGTAATTATGTTTTATTTTATTTTATTTTTTCCTGATGTTATATTTGATGTATTGTTTTTATGTTGTGTACTGTATCTTGGGGATGTTCCCTGTTTTTGTAGCACTCTGAGGTTTCGCTGAAATGTAAAGTGCATTATAAATAAAATTTATTATTATTATTATTATTATTATTACTTCTCAAAACCCATTTGTTTCAGCTTGCCTTTCCTTAAATTTATTGTTCAGTGTGTATTTTTTAAATGTGTTTTGTAAAGCGTCTTGGAGTGTCCAAAAAAAGCGCTATATCAGTTTGATGTATTATCCGGACAGGTTGAGTCTGATGACATGAAGGATGAGTCAAATGCAGAGGACATTTCCCTAGCGTGGAGGGACTGTCTCTCAGCTGGCCTGGGAACGCCTTGGGGTCCCCCCCGGACGAGCTGGAGGAAGTGTGTGTGGATAGGGAAGTCTGGGCGTCTCTGCTTAGACTGCTGCCCCCACGACCCGGCAACGGATGAAGCGGAAGAAAAAAATTGATGGATGGATGGACATTTCCCTATTTGCGGATAATAAAGTATACCATAACCTTATCATATTACACTATACATCAGTGATAAAGGCTTTTTCAACTGGACTTAGTCGGTTTTTATCATCTACTTAGCTCTACTGAACTCTTTCATCTGAGTTTAAAAGTATTTATCATTTTTCTCGTCTCCCCTTCGAGTCAAGTTCTGCTCTCACATCCATTCTCCTGGACTGTTTTCTTCATTGCTTTTTACACTACTGTGTGAAGTTGATATTATTCTCTGCAGACATGGATCCTCCAAAGATCAAGTGCCCTCCATCGAGACTTAAGTTTGCCCAGCCTGGTAAACTCACAGCTACAGTCAGCTGGGATCACCCTGTGGCCTCAGATACTGCTGATAAAGTCCTGGAGTATGTCACAGACTCCTCTTCATTTTCTTTTACTTTAGATAAAATGTACTTATTTCTTTGTGCTTCTTTATGCTTCTCCTGCAGGGTTACTCTTGTGGGTCCAGAGCCAGGCTTTGAATTTAAAGAAGGACCAACCATAATTCGATACAAAGTGTTTGATCAGGCCAAAAATAGAGCTGCCTGCAAGTTCATAGTCCGTATTGAAGGTAAAGCAGAGACATCCCCAGTCTTCTATAGTCTACACAAGATACTGTATCTATTCTGTGGCTTCATTCTGCAGTGAGACGCTGTCCTGAGGTGACCCCACCTCTGCACGGCTACCTCACATGTTCCTCTGATAGAAATAATTTTGGCGCCGTTTGCGAGTCCCACTGTGACGGAGGCTTCGAGCGCCGAGGCCAGGCCAGTCGAGTGTGTCAGTTCAACCAAAGCTGGGAAGGAGAGGCCGCTCAGTGTGTCCGTGAGTAAACATTCAGAAGTGTATGCAACCAAAAGCACTTTATGCACATTCACTCCGGACCACACCCTCTTTTTCATCCAGAACATGATCCTTCCAGAGCTCTGTTGAGAATATCGGAGAATGACTTGCAAGCTCATTCATTAATGTACTTAATCCAGTTTGTAAAGGTCTGTTACTGATCTGGATACTTTGTTTTTCAATATCTCTGCTGCGTTGTGGTTGTTATTTATCCTGAAGAGACTACAGAACAACTTTGTACAAGTTCAAGATAAAACCCGTCTTATTACATTGATTTGAAAGGCTTGGACAGGATACAGATATTGAATGGCTAACCGAAGGGAGTTCCAATCCAACAGATACCAGGATCATATTTCCCTACACATTATTTACAAAATGCATGAGTATTTTGTATGTATCAGCTTTCACCATCAAAATGACTGTTGGTTCGATATTTTTGTCCAGTAATAATTGCCGTCCACGGTGCAAGTTCAAGTCCAAGGGCATTAGCGATTGTGTTAGCTTAGCCGTAGACCAACTCGAAACCACTCCCCCCTCCCCTCGCCTCTCCACCAAACCAAACATCCAGCATTTTATTTTCTTTGTCACAACAGGGAGAGTGGGTGGCAAACGTGAAATTGGCATTTTCTGTTCAGCCATTTAAGGTTCTAGAAAATCCGATAACTCAGGTCTGCCAGAAACAGGAAGAAGATGAAGGGGGTTAACGCATCCCATTGGTTTGTTGGGAATGAACGAATCCCATTGATTTATTTTTATCGGTCCGCTCCAAAATATTAATTATTTTTTTTTGGAGACTATGCATCTGGTAAATTCCATTACTATTTGAAAACACATAACCTTTCAGGTTTAGGTACTTTTCCCCACAATATTTATAAAAATGCGTCTGGAAAAAATCTATGACTGCATCTTTAAGGACAATGTACAGAGATATTAAAATTATGACTGCTGCAGATTTAGCCCCATGCTTGTAAATAGCAAATCACTATTACTATATTTTTTTGGTATTGTTTCTTTGTGTTAATGTATTTTCTGTTTTTCCATTTGGAAATATGTGTTAAATGTGCTGTATAAATAACATAGGACATTATTTCTATTTCCTTTTAGCTTTAGACTTCAAATCCTCTCACCTAAAATCGGCCTCTTCTCTCCTGGACCAGTTCTACGAGAAGCGAAGGCTCCTGATCATCTCTACCCCAGACACGACGGACCCGGACTACCAGCAACAGAGCATGATGTTACAGGTGACCTCCCACTGGAGCTTTTCAAACTCCTCCACGCACTAAACAGACGTGTGTTATAGACCTCAGACTGCGGCCTCGACCTGAGACACGTGACTGTGGTTGAACTGGTGGGTTCTCCGCCGAAAGAGACCGGACGCATCAATGAGGAGACTCTCACGGATGATGTCATTCAAGGTTTAAGGTTTGGAATGAACAAAAAGCAAGGTTAAGAAGTGAGACTGCAAATATGCTTTGAATGGCTCTGAATTCCAAGGTTGCAAGATCCAGGGGGGAGTTCCAAAAGCCCGGTCCCCCTGTGTTTGCATTTAAACGACGAGATGGTAAACAGGTAGACCTGGGAACTTGGGCAGATAGGTAGGTCCTTATTATTGATCAGGAAAAATAATCTACAGAATAAAACTTTATACCAATAACAGAATAAACTTCTGGATACGGATTGTAAGACCTGGACGAAATGAAAAGACTCAAGCCTTTTACAGGTCAGGAAAGAATGCCAGTAAGTGCTGCACTCAACTGTAGTTTACTGTGAATTGAATTGCTCTGCTCATGGAAGAAAGGACATAATGTGTCAGCTGTTCAAGGTGATTAATACATCTGAATAATTTATTTAAGAGCTAAATGTATCAGTTAATACTTTGCATTACGATGGCCACAGGTCTCTCAAGTCTGTAATGATAATCTTCATGCTTTTCAGGTAATCTTAAAATGGAAAGCTGTTATTACCATCAGGGGCTGTAATACATTCCACTATGAGAATTCTGGAAACACATTTAAAGAAATGGGCAATTATAGGGTTATGTTTCCACTTTAAGTCATTAAAATCTAAGCTTCTGTACTCCTGTGACCCGTTTCTCCAAGACATTTGTGTTCATCTCAGCTTCATGAACATCACTCATACTGAGTAAACACCACAAACATGGACATTGCAAAACTTGATACTGTGGATGAAACACTTTTTCACAACAGATCCAGTATTTAACTGTCACTATAAAATGTTGAACACATCAACCTTTCGGTTCAGGGGAGAGGATCTCTCCTTCTCTTGTTTTCATGGAAAAACTATAGCCCATTTTCACATTAATGTTAAAAATGTCTGTTCTCTGTCTGATTTTACATTGATAAAAGTGATTTTAGGATTTACAAAGCATAATTGATTTTGACCCAGTACGCACACATCAGCTGAATCTATTAAATAACATTTTTAAATGTGCACTTCACTAAAGCTCGTGTTGGTTTTGCAGACAGACATTCCGGATCTCGAGGTCGTACTTCAGCATGGTGCTGCTGGACGAGCTGGGCCTGGACCGGGAGCGCTTTATTTCTGCAGTGTCGTCGGATGAGCTTTTCTCCTACATTGACGGCTTTGTGCTGGAGGAGGAGGAGCGGGAGAGACTGGAGCGCCACAGAGACCTCTGCCAATAGTCACACCATTTATGAACTAATGACTTTACTATTGAGCACTAACTGTATCCTCCTCAAGTGGGACTTTATTCTGAACTGTCTGTAGTAGCAGCTGTTCTTCTGTCACAGCCATAAGAAATGCAGCAGAATTAAAGCCTTGTTATGGGGCATGCAGGTTAAACACAGGTTTATTACACATCATACAATTCTTTGGATTAACTATTTAAAAAATGTGCCTTTGTTTATTTTACAGTAATACTACACAAGATCAAATCAGTGGATGTAGAAAAATGAAACTAAAGCCATGTCAATGATCTACAATAAAACAAACATTTTCAAACGGAAAGTTGCTGAATACTTAAGTGCTTAAAGAGTATGGCTTATCTTTACTTTGGTGTTAAATATAGTTTAGTGTTGTGACGTTTGGCATTTACAGTAGTCATTCCAGTAGTGAAAGTAAGTGCTGGCTTAAGAAAGGTGAATGCTATTAAATAAAATATCTATATTTTGGCACAATAGTCGACTCGTTTATCCAATCTGTTCCAAATCAAAGTCGTTAAAAAAGAATGTAACAGATCTGAAAGACCGGAAGCTCCTAAAGCATGGACATGCCTTCTCGCCCTCGCTTCATTTCCCAAATTCCATAACCTTCATCAAACCAAACAAACACTGCTCTGTCCTGTTTGTTCAGCAGTTCTCATTTTTCCTTGGACTTTCCCATTGTTGCGCGCAGTGGAAGAGTGCCCTCTGCCCACGAGTCTGGGTATTGCATCATCTTGAGCCAGAGACTTACTTCTTCACCTACAGAGTCCATTTCGACGTCACTTTTTCCTATTTTCACAGAACCTAATGGAGGAAAAGTATGAATTACATTGGATTAGTGGTTCACACTTCCACTCATTATGCTGTACAGGCAAATAAATAAAACAAATGACATTGACAATTTTGTCATATTTACCTTTTCCAGTGCTGAGGCGCACTCCGCCCAAAAATTCATTGCTGGACACAGCCTCTCGGTCCCACACAGTCAGCTCCAGGCACATCTCCTTCAGCTGCTCTAAGCCCACGTCTTTGTACACAAACGTATGGTCAAAATGAGGGTTCAGGTTTTTCCTCACAACAGGAGTTTTCCTCTTGGTGGACTTTCCTTTTGTTGGTAACAAGTACCTGAATAGAAAGCAATGCACTTAATCCCCGCTACTCCCTAGATTCATTTGGCTGGTGTTGTGGTAATTCTCACCCCTTTACAAAGCTATCTGCGGTGTCTCCCAGTTTAAGTCCTACTAAATTCTTTGCCTCTTTAATGAGAACATGAAACTCCCCCTCTTCAGTCAGAGCCTTTTTACCTGTGCACCAAAGAACACTTGTTAAAGATAGTATAAAGATTATTACCGTAGTTACATTATGCTTAGGTTCTCTCCTTACCTTTAGTCTTTACTGGCGTTTGTGTTTTAGGAGTGACATACTTTAATGAAATGACCAGCTCTCCTTTGTCCTGCGCAACAAGTGGGACTGAAGACGGAGCCTGTCAAAGATCATGAAAGGGGTTTGAATCAACTCAGATCACAAACAAAACGCCCCATACAATAGATATTCATATAAAATGCATTGAGCTTTGAATATCCACTTTCCTATGACTATAACGTCTACAAATATACAGGATGTCGCCTGTGCCATACAACCTGCGATCAGTGGCCTCACATTCTCACTAGCACTCATTTTCACAATAACTTTCCATTTAAATTGAGTGTAATTTGTGTTGATGAATATGCTTTTGTTAATTTAATCCACTGGACAATCTAGACAACCATGTTTTTGTTGTGTTATAAATAGCGTGTGATTACTTCATGTGCAGACGCTGCTTTGCTTATGGTCTTTAAGGCTTAAAAAGTGGAATTTGAGTGGAGTTGAGTTTGCTTATTCAATTATTTAGTTTTCAACCTGAAAAAGTCTATGTACCCTTAGTAACGTAGTCTTGATGGAAATATTCATTTTGTATCAGTCAGACAAGGCCATTGTGCGCATTCGTTAGATTGTTAGGCTGATAAAATTCATGAGTCATGTTCATGAAATCTAAAAATGAAATCTGAACAATCCTATTTATAATATGATTTGAAACTTATTTTTTCATTTGGTATTTTTTGGCGATTTTGAAAACAATAATACAGTATACGTAAACCTTTGACATTAGGGCGACTGTCTCCTCTGTCTGAGAGTCCAAGTCTCTGCAGTCGAGAGCGATCTCCACTTCCCCCAAAAAAGTGTTGCGGCTAAAGCGTCCGTGATGCCACACCGATATGAGCAACGAGCGGTCACACAGCTGAGACCGACTCATCGAATACTGCACACACACAACACACTCATTGAATACAGCACACACACAACACTCATCGAATACTGCACACACACAACACACTCATTGAATACAGCACACACACACAACACACTCATTGAATACAGCACACACACAACACACTCATCGAATACTGCACACACACAACACACTCATTGAATGCTGCACACACACAACACACTCATTGAATGCTGCACACACACAACACTCAAGAGTACTGCAGATTTTAAAAAAAATGTGAGGGCTTATATTAGGTAATCATTTTGGAAAGAAATAAAGGGGGGACATTTATCACATATACAGTGCCTTGCGAAAGTAAATAAAATTTTAATTTTTTTGTCATGAATCAACAAGTGGGACACAATCGTGAAGTGGAACGAAATTTATTGGATAATTTAAACTTTTTTAAACAAATAAAAAACTGAAAAGTGGGGCGTGCAATATTATTCGGCCCCTTTACTTTCAGTGCAGCAAACTCACTCCAGAAGTTCAGTGAGGATCTTTGAATGATCCGATGTTGTCCTAAATGACTGATGATGATAAATAGAATGCACCTGTGTGTAATCAAGTCTCCGTATAAATGCACCTGCTCTTTGATAGTCTCAGGGTTCTGTTTAAAGCGCAGAGAGAACCATGAAGACAAAGTAACACACCAGGCAAGTCCGAGATACTGTTGTGGAGAAGTTTAAAGCCGGATTTGGATACAAAAAGATTTCCCAAGCTTTAAACATTTCAAGGAGCACTGTGCAAGCAATTATATTGAAATGGAAGGAGCATCAGACCACTGCAAATCTACCAAGACCCGGCCGTCCCTCCTAACTTTCATCTCAAACAAGGAGAAGACTGATCAGAGATGCAGCCAAGAGGCCCATGATCACTCTGGCTGAACTGCAGATAACTACAGCTGAGGTGGGAGAGTCTGTCCATAGGACAACAATCAGTCGTGCACTGCACAAATCTGGCCTTTATGGAAGAGTGGCAAGAAGAAAGCCATTTCTCAAAGATATCCATAAAAAGTCTTGTTTAAAGTTTGCCACAAGCCACCTGGGAGACACACCAAACATGTGGAAGAAGGTGCTCTGGTCAGATGAAACCAAAATCGAACTTTTTGTCTGTAATTGCAGCAAAAGGTGGCGCTACAAAGTATAAGCGCAAGGGGGTCGAATTATATTACACGCCCCACTTTTCAGTTTTTTATTTGTTAAAAAAGTTTAAATTATCCAATAAATTTCGTTCCACTTCACGATTGTGTCCCACTTGTTGATTCTTGACAAAAAATAAAATGTTATATCTTTGTTTGAAGCCTGAAATGTGGCAAAATGTTGAAAGGTTCAAGGGGGCCGAATACACTGTATGCACATTAATTATAATACATTAAAACTGGTGTACTTCACTTGAACAATTTTTTAAAATAATAATATGTGTACCAACAGTGCCTATCTTATTGGTATCTATTTCTAACCCCTTTATTAATCCATTTCTGGGTCAGGGAGGTGGCAATGAGAGCTGCCACCCAATGCTCAAAGCATCAGTCCCTTGCTTATCCTCCTGCAGGTGGTGGATTTTCAGGAACAAATGGCCTTTATATATATATATATATATATATATATATATATATATATATATATATACCACCGGAGCATAACAGAAGTGGCTGATCTCAAGAAGTCCTACCAATGGCTAGAAAGGGCTGGCCTACAGGACAGCACAGAGGCACTCATCATGGCTGCACAGGAACAGGCACTGAGCACCAGAGCGATAGAGGCCCAGATATACCACACCAGACAAGACCCAAGGTGTCGGTTGTGCAAAGAGGCACCTGAGACGATCCAACACATAACTGCAGGGTGCAAGATGCTGGCAGGGAAGGCCTACATGGAACGCCATAACCAAGTGGCTGGCATAGTGTACAGAAACATCTGTGCAGAGTATGGGCTGGAAACCCCAAGGTCTAAGTGGGAAACTCCTCCAAAGGTGATGGAGAATGAGCGTGCAAAGATCCTGTGGGACTTCCAGATACAGACCGACCGAATGGTAATGGCGAACCAACCTGACATAGTGGTAGTAGACAAAGGGCAGAGGACAGCCGTGGTGGTGGACGTGGCAATTCCAAGCGATGGTAACATCCGGAAAAAAGAACATGAAAAGCTTGAGAAATACCAAGGTCTCAGAGAGGAGCTGGAGAGGGCCTGGAGGGTAAAGGTGACAGTAGTGCCCGTGGTGATCGGTGCACTCGGGGCAGTGACCCCGAAGCTAGAAGAGTGGTTACAGCGGATCCCTGGAACAACCTCGGACATCTCGGTCCAGAAATGTGCAGTGCTAGGAACAGCAAAGATACTGCGCAGAACCCTCAAGCTCCCAGGCCTCTGGTAGAGGACCCGAGCTTAGAGAGGGATAACCGCCCGCGGAGGGCCAAAGGTGAGTGGACAATTTTATATATATATATATATTATATATATATATCACATCACCTTGGAAAATAACAAATGAATAAAAATAATCAAAAATTGAGAGCCGTCCTAGCTTATGTGTGAACATGATGCCTTCTTACTGTTACACACATAATGCAATATTTAATCTTATGTACAGTGTCAACATCCATATGCACGATCTCTAGGTGTTGTCTGTGTTTGCCGTGGCGTAAGGTCATTGGTCTGGGAGTGTCGCGAGTCAACAACGTAAAGTCAACATTCATATGGAGTGACGACAGCACTTGTACCTTCAATGTTTCATTGAAGACTGGGTTAACGGTGTGTCTCTTGATGCTGGTTTTCCTTTTGCTCTGACGGGACTTTTCCGGCAGCAGGTAGCATTTGACGTAGCTGAGAAAGAATTTACAATTAGTACAAGGCGATAGTCAGGAAATGTCAAGCAAATATCCTGTTCTCTTGATATCTGCTGATTGGTAATTTCCTGTGCAGCTTGACTCAGCACCCCTGGGATGTGATTATCGAGGCTGTTTTAACGTAGCAGCTCTTATCTCCCAAGATCAAAGACATGTTACCATCACAGAGGCAGAAACACGAGTCTGTAAGCTCCCCTGCCAACTGTGCTTTGGTTAAACACATTTCACACACGCAAAGACGCATGCCAGACTAGAGAGCAATATGTCAATAAATGTATAATCTTGTAATAGTTATTTTTACAGAATATTGAGTGCACAGCTTGCATTCAAAACACAAGGAAAATAGATACTCAAACAAGGTCCTGGATGACATATAGTTGTCTATTGTATGCATCTTGGATACAGAAGAAATTTATAATGTATTCTGATAAAGCAGTCAACACGAGTTAGCTCTTTAATGTGGGTGGGTGCCAACAGCTTGTTTACATGGAAGGAGCTCGGAGTAGAGCCAAGCAGCAGCTCTACTCCGAGCAAGACTGGTAGCTCAGCTGTCTGATTTGGATGCCTCCTGGAGGCCTTCTTGGGGAGATGTTTTGAACAAGAGGAGACCCCGGAAAGACCCAGGCCAGCTGAGAGACACAGTTCCTCCAGCGTGTCCTGGGTCTTCCCGCCTATTCAGGATTCTCATGAATGAGCTGGAGGAGGAAAAAAGTTGGAACTGCAAACCAGCACTGGATAAAGTGGAAGAAAATGTATGTATTACAAACACAGAAAAAGTGACACACTGCCTTTAATGTCTGATAGGGAAATATCACTGTTCTATAGATACACATTCACAATCTGCAGACCTTTCCCAATTCCTAAGACACGTGTTGCTCTTGAATTTCCAATCACTGAGCAAACACTCCTCACTCATCCTCATTCTGAACCCCTCGCACAGCCTTCTAATAGAGTTTTCTGATAGTTACGGGCTGGACTGCTGGCGTGTGGACTCGGCGTAGGCCAGGCCGCGGCACTCTTTAATGAAGACGAGCAGGCTCTGGGTGTGTTCGTCGTATTTGAGAGAGAAAACCAGGTCCCCGCTCACTTCCACGCTGTCAAAGTCCCCCGCCTCGCTGTAGATGCTCATCAGGCTGCCCAGCGTGCTCTGAAGCGTGTCAAAAGGCAAATATTGACCTTTAGGACATTCAGCCTCATGCATGCACATGTCACAGCAGTATTAGCAACGCTTTTACAACACAACAACTTATGTCTTTAGGGCTTTAGCCGTTTATTCAAGTGGTTTTCAAATTGTATACATCTAGTTCCATCAATAAAAGTATTTGGCCTCTCAAGTACCATTATTTTGAAATGTTTGGCCTTTTGGGAGTCTGATCTGTCTATAACAAGACTCTTTGGGGCCAAATAGTTCCAAGTTCTCCTGGAAATGGTGGTTTTGAGCTTTCTTGCTTATAATAATAAATAAAATGAAAAATATATGTATATATACACATTTTTTTGAAAAGTGATTATGGGAAATAATGAAAATAAGATAAAATAAATAAATTGCAAATGATATAATGATAGAACTACAGCCGTTTCTCATTATGCTCCTTGTAAATGGAATTCTCTGCCAAATGCCAAGTGTTTAGAAGGTAAGGCTAAGTCCCCTTTTCCAGTGTACTTTTAATTGTATACAATGCATCTCCAGTCTCTCCAGCACTTGAATATTTAGAATTGGAAGTAAATGTTGAGAGAAATCTTTTCTGTATAAAAAGAATGATAATTAAAGCTCACAGCCGCCCCCAGGATGTCAGGACCATAAGCAGCATGCGGTGTACTTGCATACGGATACGTGTTCAAATTACATTTAGTTTGATTTTGTTTTTAGTCAAAACAAATTTTTTGACTACAGTACAAAATATTTTGAATACAATTCATTCTACTCCTGTGAACTTTATCAAACTTGACGAGTTAAAATATGAGACCTTATTATCATGCTTGTGCCTCTTGTTTCATTATCTTTATTATTTTCCTGTTTCAGTTTCCTGTTCGGTTCACTGAGCAACGTTTGAAGAAGCATAGATGGAGACTTTGCACTAAACAAAATCAATAGTTTACCTTGGAGCTGTTCAGGCTGGAGGAGCTGGTAGCCATGTTCCTTTTGTGGAAACTAACCAGGCTGTCGATATCTTCATCTTCCTCCTCTTCTTCCTGTTACATTAATGAAACATATGACCTTTAATTTATTATTTATATCATGTGTGAACAAACAACCAGCAGGTTTCTATTGATTAGTCTGAGCCAATGCGTCACAGGAAAATCATTTAAATAAACAAATGTCTGCATAGAAATGTCTCTTTAAGACTAATTCTATATCTCATTCTATCCCATTTGATAAGAGGTATCGTCGATCTATGGTAAAATAATGCTTTTATTTCACAAATAACACATGTCGTTGGTCCCAACGAAAAAAATAAAAATAAATTACATTCTCTCCATCTATTAGAAAAGCAAAAAAGGAGGACCTCGCTCTTTCTATCTGAAAAAAAAAGCTGACTCAAAGATCTGACAGAGGCCATGAAGTAAACGCATTAAAAAAAAAAAAATGGTGATAGAACAAAACTGTTTTAAGAGCGAAGAACGAAATGATTTTATTACATTGTTTCTTTTGTGTGCTTTGAAAGTTAGGTACCTCAGCTTTAAGGCTGTAGGTTCACGTCTATATCCTTTTAATAAATACAAGTTCTAATCTAGCATTAACATGAGCTACGTACGGCAGCATCCAGGCCTGGGACAGACTTGCTCCTGGAAACCAGTGAGGCTGGAGGAGAGTCCGGCTCATCGCGGAGGTCCAGTGTTGATGTGAACTCTGAGAACAAGACCAAGGAGAGGACACTTTTTCACCCTTTAGTACACCTTCCCTCTTTTACAAACCTATTAAGAGTGAAAACCATTATTTATACACTTTACTTACTTTACATAAAAATGTGAACTGTTAACACTTTTGTTTACAGATTTAAAAAACAAGAATTTCTACAATTTCCTTTGGGCCAGTAATGAGATTGTGATATTAACATTTCTGTTCCACATACCGGGGGTCCTTTGCGTGCGCCTCACACTCTTCTTGAAAAGTCGATCAACGTCCATGTCTGGAGATACACAGCGGTTTCGCATCTCTGGCTGAAAGAATAATGTAATTTAAATTCAATTTCACATGTCGCAGTGATCCAATGTGGATCAGATAAACCATCGCAGAAGAGTAACTGCTCATTTCTAGATCTTCTACAAAGTCTGTAAGAGATTAAATGTCATATCCTGATCATTGATGACATGAAACTTAAATGTATATACAATTCTCTGCAATGATCTTAGAAGTAGAAGGTCTGATGCTTTTATTCCTAAAAAAAAAAAAAAAAAAAAAAAACAAGCCTCACATTGTAAAAGTTTAGCTTGCTGTGCTTATCTGATGCACATAATTGACGCAGCGCTGCCTTCAAATCCAAGTGGAATTTGTAGTCTATCCATCTGCATCTGAAGATATAGATTGTATGTTTTTTGTTGACCTCTTTTTCTGAAGTTATTTTGAGACACAAGGAAGCAACAGCATGTGCTAATGGGACTACAAATAACAAAAATAACAATGCACTATGCAGCCGTTATTCATTGCTTAAAATAGTGTCCTTGGATGTGCCTACACTGGAAATTGAAGCACATTGAAAATAAAAGGGGAGGGCAGCTATATTTAGCAAGACGACCTGGATCGATGATGAGTGGCGACTTGCAATCCGAGAGAGAATGGTCAGAAAGACTAGGAATGACTTCACCACAAACAAGTTTGGACAGCGTTCCCTTGTAGTGTAAAGGCACAACTTTGTGACCAGAACGATTTGCATATTCGCCATAGAGTCTCTCTAACGCTGAGAGCTGATTGGCTGTTGCAGAGGTAATCCACCCTGGTTTCCTTTTAGATGGTTGTACAGTTGGCATCATTTTTATCATTATTTTGTTTTGTTTATTTGGTTAGGACAGTGCATGCTAATGTACACATCTTTCCAGATAGTAGCCTTGAGCTAATTGACATTCATTGTCCCGCAATCACACTCATTTCACCCATGTGTACATGTGTTTAGTGGTAGGAGAACCCGAAGCACCCGGAGAAAACCTACGCAGGCACAGGGAGAGCACGCGAACTCCACACATAAAGGCCCTGTCTGGAGGTGGAACCCAGGTCCTTCTTGCTGAGAAGTGCCAACCACTGCACCACTGCACCACATCATTTGCTTATTTATTTGGTTATTTTGAATGGGACAGTGCATTCATGACGCTCAGGAGCTATAAATGCACAGGATTGTAGCCTTGGGTGAATTTCCATCTGTTGTCTCACAGTTACACTTGAACACACACTCATTAGTATATATGTAGTAGACAGGAGCATGTGAATACTAATGATAAGACATTTGTGGTAGATCCGATAGATTTAAAGACCTACTTTCTATTTCCACTTTTAATATCATGTAGCCAGCTTTAATTTGATGTTATACTTATTGATTTGACCGGTTTAAACTCTCAAGGTATTCTTTTTTTGATGAGCAAACAATCTTTCCTGAAGATTGAAGAAGTCAACAATATTCTAACTAGACTGTACTTACACTGTCTGCTTCGTGATCCGTGACCTCGATTGTCACTGGAAGCGGAAAAGTGGAGACACTGCATTCTTCCAAAGCGGATGGTGCTTTATTGCCTTTCCTTTAATTGCACCACAGTTAAATAAATGACAAAGCAAATAAGCAATGTCCTTTTGAGTAATCCCTGGATCTACCTGGGCAGCTCCGGTGTGACGTGGTGAGATTCAGTCGCCATCGTACTGCTGCTCAAACTGGCAACCTCCACAGACTCCGTGTCACTGTGGGCGGCAGCGGGCCACACGTCCTCTCTGGATTTTAACGATTCCCTTGAAGCGATGGACGCAGACTTTTCACTTGAAGCGTTACTAGGGGAAATAAATGAAAGGTTGAAGAAAAAAAAAGAAAAAATACATGAAAGATATATACAATATTGAGGAACCTTTCTAATTGAGTGGCTTCCAGTTTGAGTCTTGGCCGAGGGACAGGAGCCGACTGAAGAGTGCCCTCTGTGCTCCTCAGAAGCACTTCACTTGTTGTTTCACGCTTTTTTACTGAAATAAACACAAGAATAAATACACCATGTTTAACTACTTGACATGCAATTTTTATAGATGGCCCAGAACTATCTATGCTCAATACAACAACCCTAGGACAAGATTTCTGGATTTTTTATTTATTTCAGTTGTGGACATGACAATACATCACATTTTACAAATGCATTTCAAATAATTGTAGTTCTGTCTCACAAATAAAAAAGTAAATTCTTGATTAAATAATAATGTTACCATGTGGACCCACACTCTAGTTTCATAATCTTAAGATAAATATTAAATAAATAATAGAGAGGGGTGACAGTAGCTCAGTTGGTAGAGCATTGGCCTTTGGGCCTGAAGGTTGTGGGTTCAAGCCCACCATAAGACCTACTTCACGACTCCCACTCATGACTGCTGTTGTTGTGTCCTTGGGCAAGACACTTAACCCCACTTTGCCTGAAGCTCCCACTGAAAGATCTCAGCTCCTGTGGACTCACCACCTGCAGGAGGATCAGTGAGGGGCTGGTGCTAAGTGTACTGGGTGCATCTCTGACTGCCACCCCCCCGACCCAGAAATGGATTAAGGGGAAGAAAATGGATGGATGGATGGATATTTATCTTAAGATTATGAAATTAGAGTGTGGGTCCATTTAAAAATGATGTGTATATAACATTAGTATTTAATCAAGATTTAACTTTTTTATTTGTGTGACAGATGCTGTGAAAAGGCGTTGAAACAAGAATGAATTTGACTTAAATTAAGATGTATGTATATGGATTTATCATCATAAAGTCATGGATTTGATATAAAATAGATTTTCTTCACAATAATACTGCACTATAAAAGCAGAACGTTCCGACACTAAGCTGTTTATATTCACGTTAAGCCTCTTCCATTTCCTACTCACTCGGCGCAGGTTTCTTCTTCATGGAGGTTCTCACAAGGTCGTGTCCAGGACATTCAGAGAAGCGGTTCACCCTCTGATCATAAAACCAATCACCAGTTCTCTTTTTGATCTCCCTGTTAATCACATTTAAGAATAACATCTTTGCACAGTATATGTAACACACATGTGGAAGGGCACTGTATGACATTTGCATGAAGGTTGTGAATTTCACTTTTCACTGTGTACAAAAAAAACAACTTCATAACAACAGTGTGTTAACTGAATCAACAGTTACTTGATTCAGTTAAGACTGTTGAAACATGAACGCAAAAACCAGCAGCTCCAACATACTGATTTCTGTGGACGCAATATATATATATATATATATATATATATATATGTAACATGAAGGTCTGTGATGATAGAAGGATGGCTCTCAATGTAATGAAACCGCAGAATGGAGCAGGACTCTTTCAACCAGCAGTCACTTGAAATATCATTTTTCTTCTCTTCTCTTCCTCTGCTATATCGCTGTCACATGATACCTTCCACCCAATCACGATACATCATTGCACTGCTCCTAACTAAGAAAGATAGAACTCATCAAAAAAACATAGCTCTCACAAATATTTCATTATTGTTGACGCCACTATCACATGTCACTTATTTTCTTATTTCCTGCTCCACCCAGTGGCTACACCACCTTTGCTGCTGTGACCTGAAGTGCTGTTGCTATTTATTACTATTGCTTGCTACTTTTAGAATTATTTTTATTTATTTTTTTGTTTATGTGGATGGATGTGCTTCTGCTGCTACTGGACACCTGAATTTTTCCTACGAGGATCAACAAAGTATCTATATTTCTATACTGTGCAGCCTTAGGTGTAACTAATGAGGCCCTTACGATTCCATGGCACACACGCTGCAGAGCCAGGAGTCCTTGGAGTCCACTGGGGTCCGGCAGCCACGGCACACGTCGTGGTGACACATGCGGCACTGAGCGGAGGAGAGGCGGCTCACGGGCTGAAGGCAGCGGCCGCAGACGCGCTGGCTGTACTTCCCACTACCACGCTTCGCCCCTCTCCTCTTTATGTCCAGCAGGTCACTCTTCAGCTTCCTGCAAGACGTGGGAAAAGCACTGATCTTACAGTGCCTTGCAAAAGTATTCGGCCCCCTTGAACCTTTCAACATTTTGCCACATTTCAGGCTTCAAACATAAAGATATAAAATTAGATTTTTTTGTCAAGAATCAACAACAAGTGGGACACAATCGTGAAGTGGAACGAAATTTATTGGATAATTTAAACTTTTTTAACAAATAAAAAACTGAAAAGTGGGGCGTGCAATATTATTCGGCCCTTTACTTTCAGTGCAGCAAACTCAGTCCAGAGGTTCAGTGAGGATCTTTGAATGATCCAATGTTGTCCTAAATGACTGATGATGATAAATAGAATGCACCTGTGTGTAATCAAGTCTCCGTATAAATGCACCTGCTCTTTGATAGTCTCAGGGTTCTGTTTAAAGCGCAGAGAGAACCATGAAGACAAAGGAACACACCAGGCAGGTCCGAGATACTGTTGTGGAGAAGTTTAAAGCCGGATTTGGATACAAAAAGATTTCCCAAGCTTTAAACATCTCAAGGAGCACTGTGCAAGCAATTATATTGAAATGGAAGGAGCATCAGACCACTGCAAATCTACCAAGACCCGGCCGTCCCTCCAAACTGTCATCTCAAACAAGGAGAAGACTGATCAGAGATGCAGCCAAGAGGCCCATGATCACTCTGGATGAACTGCAGATAACTACAGCTGAGGTGGGAGAGTCTGTCCTTAGGACAACAATCAGTCGTGCACTGCACAAATCTGGCCTTTATGGAAGAGTGGCAAGAAGAAAGCCATTTCTCAAAGATATCCATAAAAAGTCTTGTTTAAAGTTTGCCACAAGCCACCTGGGAGACACACCAAACATGTGGAAGAAGGTGCTCTGGTCAGATGAAACCAAAATAAAACTTTTTGGCCACAATGCAAAACGATATGTTTGGCGTAAAAGCAACACAGCTCATCACCCTGATCACACCATCCCCACTGTCAAACATGGTGGTGGCAGCATCATGGTTTGGGCCTGCTTTTCTTCAGCAGGGACAGGGAAGATGGCTAAAATTGATGGGAAGATGGATGGAGCCAAATACAGGACCATTCTGGAAGAAAACCTGTTGGAGTCTGCAAAAGACCTGAGACTGGGACGGAGATTTATCTTCCAACAGGACAATGATCCAAAACATAAAGCCAAATCTACAATGGAATGGTTCACAAATAGACGTATCCAGGTTAGAGTTTCGCTTTTCAGCCCGACTGCTGAGCGCTGAAGTGTGAGGCCTGCTCGGGCTGAAAAGCGAAAACTCTAACCTGGACACGTCTATTTGTGAACCATTCCATTGTAGATTTGGCTCCTTTTTATTTTTTTTATTTTTTTAATCAATATTTGTTATTATTTATGATTTTCATACATAATGATATGCATATATGTATTTATTAATAATAATGTCCATTGATTGACCACAAGTTATTAAAAAGGTTGATATATTTATAACACCGTAACCGGCGTGGCCGCAGCAAGCCGTGAACGCATCATCCCTGTTTTTCCTGTTGAATACTACGATCAACAGCGAACACACGGAACATTAACAGAAATGGATCAGGTGGACGTACAAAACACATTCAGAAGTGGCTAAACTTGCAATTGGAAGGTGAGTGCGCACAACAAGGGAAATCAGATGTGTCGGGCTTCTGTCGGGCTCGGGCCTGTTATACAGCGTTAATTGGTCGGGCTTATACGGGCTCGGGCTTAGTATTAGCGGGCTCGGGTCGGGCTTGATTTTTCAGGCCCGAACAAAACTCTAATCCAGGTGTTAGAATGGCCAAGTCAAAGTCCAGACCTGAATCCAATCGAGAATCTGTGGAAAGAGCTGAAGACTGCTGTTCACAAACGCTCTCCATCCAACCTCACTGAGCTCGAGCTGTTTTGCAAGGAAGAATGGGCAAGAAATCCAGTCTCTCGATGTGCAAAACTGATAGAGACATACCCCAAGCGACTTGCAGCTGTAATTGCAGCAAAAGGTGGCGCTACAAAGTATTAGCGCAAGGGGGCCGAATAATATTGCACGCCCCACTTTTCAGTTTTTTTATTTGTTAAAAAAGTTTAAATTATCCAATACAGTTTGTTCCACTTCACGATTGTGTCCCACTTGTCGTTCTTGGTGTACTTTCGCAAGGCACTGTAAATATGCATTCGTTAAAACTCCTCTTAATCACTGTGAGATGCCACCAGTGGTGGGAGAAGAATAAAAAGCCGGGGTACCCAACTTTCAAACTACATACATTTTTTGTGCCTCATCAAACCTGACCATGGAGGTTGGTTCTTTGGCTTTAATTCTTCATAGTTTGCACTTTATAGTAATATAGAATAAAACATGTTTCCATTTCCTAGAGTCAGACTGCTAAACTTACTAAAGTAACTAAAGTGACCGAACTCCTCCTCAGCCCCTCACACTGTTAGAAACACATTTTTGGGGCTTGTCAATTTAAATCCTGGTGGAGAATCCCACCCTTAACAAATTTGACATAGTGAAGTTTTGATTGTTGGCGCCCTCGGTCAACACTTCACGCTCATCTGATGTGTGTCTGTGTGACGTCTTCTCACCGTATGCGCTGATCCTCGGCCAGTCGCAGCTCCTCGTCTCTCCTCAGCACCTCCAGGATCAGCTCCTGTTCCGAGTGCGACAGGAAACCCAGGTTTATGTCCCCCTGAGGCATGGTGCCGAGCTCAGGCTGAACGCTCCGCTCTTTGGAAAACCTGTAGAGATAATATCAGATAAAAGATGAAGCCTCTTGAATCTCAACCCAAATCAAATCAAATCAAATCTGGACATGAAGCTGAACAGGCCGCGGTGACTTTTCACTTTGCCCAGAGTGTCACACTGACCACATTATTACAGCTTATGTGAGCGCAGTGAGGGGTTCTGGTCACATGGGCAAACGAGAACCTGTAGATTTTGTTTTGGTTTGTGTGTGTGTAATCTAATATAACTATATAGGCCCAACAAAAGTTAAAATGTTGCATATTTGATGTTGTTTATTATTACTATTGTTATCTTTCTATCGTCTATTTCTGCTGCTTCTGGATTGCTGAATTTCTCCTACGAAGATCAATAAAGTATCCATCTATCTATTTATAAGAAAGTCTGTCACTGTTTGGGCTGATCTAAAGATTTGACAGATGCCAAAAACGCACATGTGTGAAAACGAGTGATAGAACTGTTTTGAGAGTTAAGAACTAGTTAGATGGATTGTGGTACAAAGTTATATTTTGTTTTAAAGTTAGGTACTCCAGCTTTTAAAGTGTAATTTACAAAAACACAGGAAAAAAAAACCCCACATACATTGAATCGATAGGCGTGGAGAAAGCAAAAGCAGATAAGAATAGACTTTGGCAGTGTTCCCAACCAGTTTAGAACTCTTCACACAGCAGGAACATCTGTTTACTTTTTAGTCATTTATATCTTTTTAATTTTTTTTTTTATGCCAAAACAAGTCACTGCGCAGTATTTTCCTTCAACCAAATCCTATTCAATTTCACCTTCTAGTTGGCATTTCTGTCTCTTTCTAAGACATAGCCAGTTGCATAGAGTACGACAGTTCAATATTCTCTATAATAAATTAATATTGACTCACTATATTGGTCACAGCGTTATCTCCTGTGATAATTTCCCACACAAGGTTCCAGTGAAAGGTCTTCGGAGCAGAACAGCAAAAACAACATTGGCTGCCATGTAGAGTTCCCACCCTTTAAGGACACACAGATCAGGAGTTCAGACATTAGTTTCAGTCCAAAAATGACAGCTGGATTATCTGTCATGCTCCATCTAAAAGTGTACGCTTCAGTGCATCTACTTCAAAGAGTGCATGTTCTGTGGGGGCTGTTAATGCTTGTGAAAATGCACAAATGAATGCAAAAGCCATTTTTCCTCATTGCTTAAATGCCTGGAGCCTAGTCTAGCAGGAGGGTAATACATACAGACAGGCGTTTAACCACAGCAGTAGGAAATGGCTCAGTCCAGTCTGTATAACTATGTGAAGACAGGGGCGTTTGACACTGACAAAGATGAATATATAGTCAAATTGTCAAGATGAGTGGAGCGAGTTTTCATTTTTCATTATGTAGAAGTAGAAATGTGTGCATGCAATTTCTTTCTCAACTCACTTTCTCCAAAACCCCCATAACAATACACCTACATGTTTGGAGTGAGCCTTAAGATTACGTTAGAATTCAAAGGAATTTGGCCATAACCCTAAATAACTGTAAACGCACACTCGGAGCGTAAGAAATGTGCAGAGATAGACAGAGAGAGACGCACCTGTTGTCATTAGTCACTGTTTTTGAGTCCTCTCCTCTTCATCTGGAGGCTCTGCACAAAACACCACAGCCACAGAGTCCGATCATGCCACTGGGCAGAGAGAGTATGAGAGAGAGAGGAGTCCTGTTGCCTTACGAGTGGCGGTAGAGGCATAATAGACACATCCGCATGTTTCCCTCGGCTGCAGTGTTGACTTTGTGCGCTCGGTCCCTGCGCACCGGAAGATGAGGAAAGTTTAGTGCACGCAAGGCGCAAGATCCACTGCGCGTTAACCCAGACCTGCGCCAGAAACTGTGGACGTGACGGGAACGTGAAGGGATCTAACTAAAAAAACGCCTGAAACTAAAGTGAGAGGACGGGCAAGAAAAACATGAAGGCATTCTGTGATTCTGCGTTGAAAGACTTTATACCATTACCCACCCTTCTCTCGATTTTATTATTGGTTAATTAAAGCTGGGGTACCTAATTTCCAAAGCACAAATCTACCTAGAAGTGCGTCTCGTTTCTGGCTCTAAAGTCTTTTACCGTTTAAGTTTGTTTCTAACACTCGTTTTCATGTATGTTATGTTTGTTATTTGAAAGACCTTTTTAGACAAAATAAATAAATAAAAGAGAACCACCCTCACACTCAAGCCAAACTGCTCAAAGCCCAAATAATCATGTATTATTAATGGCGAAATTAGTTAACCCCCCCCTCTCTTTTTTTTAAAGAACGCAAGGTTAGCACAGGCTTGTATTTGGGGAAACTTATATTGCACCTATGAACCCTCAATCTTTAATAAGATGTCAAGGCTCCACATTTTGATTCAAGTATCTTTTTTGTTTTCAGTAACTAAACACACTGGGTAGACTGTAGACATTATTAAAATAGGAGAGGAAGACACAGCATTTTTCTTCTTCCCACTCTTTTTAAGTATCTTCAAGTGTTTCCCTTGTGTATATAATTTTGTATCATGTAAATGTGCACCTGTGGACTCACCACCTGCAGGAGGATCAGTGAGGGGCTGGTGCAGCTCTGACTGCCACCCCCCGACCCAGAAATGGATTAAGGGGAAGAAAATGGATGGACGGATGGGTATCATGTAAATTTAACTCAGGGTTATTTATGCACAATTTTAATATTCTATTTTTGTTTCTTGTACTTATTTGCTCGTAATAAACATGGCTTAAGTATTGTTTATTACAGAAACTTCCAACAGAATGAACAGCATCCAAGTTAGAACCAGTTGAATCAAGACATTTGGTCCTCTACTTCTGGATGTTGCCCCTTCACATCATGAGGACAGTTTGTGTGTGAAAAATAATACCAATTAGTGTTAGAGCATTCTATCATGAAGGAATCCAATGTACAGTAGACCATAACATGCATCATCAGTCAAATAAATACAGTAAAACAAAAACATGTCGAAATCAAGTGCTGTCATACACTTCACTTTATCCCAGAGTCTTGTGTCGTGAGTCCTGGTCTGCACTCTAAGTCCAACACGATATGATTGATGTGTGGAGCATACGACTTCACGTGCTCTATGTGTTGGACATGTGTAGTCCATCCTGTCTCTGTAATGTCCTCTAGCAATCTTCTAAAGTGTTCCGCTGTGTCTTTAGCCCAAACTTGCCACGCTCTTCTGTCTCTGCTCTTGTCAGACTCCTCTCTGACTTGCAGAGAAGACGCATGATTGGACATTGGAGAAGTAACATTGTGATGAATGTGTAAAATGCCTCCGGTGGATCTCTTCAGCAGTCGACAGGCAACAGGCCAGCCGTCCTCAGAGCTGGGTATGAGGCCTAGGTTTACTCTGTCTGCCACATCACTCAACTGGAGCTAAGGCAACAAAACAGTATTCAGAATCAAGATAAACAAGTTTGTAAATAATGAAGTGACAAACATAATAACTTACATGCCTATTATCCCCTTGATGGACTGTGCAGCGCTCAGAGACATTGTTCAAATTAAGGTTTTTACATAAAGCCTCAGCTGCATCTGGGTTCCACTCACACGCATGGACATGAGCAGCTCCTGCATGAATCAAATAGGGCAGTACAAAATATCCAATTCCTAAAAGGACACAATGATTATTTATAATTCTCCACAAATGCCAACATGTATACTGTGTTTCCCATTTTTACCTGCATACAAATCCACAACTATCTCTCCTTTACAATTAAATGTGGCAACTCTAAGTTTTTCTGTGATGTTCCCTGAGGAAAACATGCATTTGGTGACGTCAAAATCCAACCTGGAGATGAGATTTATACAAAGGTTACGAAATATTCAAAAGTAAATCAATATGTTTGGTTTAAAAATGACCTGATGCCATTATCAACATGTGTCACCCAGCCGTGTTCTCCATGCAGCATTGTCACTTGAGGAGATCTGAATCCATCCCTGGATATAAATCTTTTTCTCACTAGTCGCTCGCCTCCTAACACTTCTGCCACGGTTCTCCATAATGAGCAACCTACAACGGTAAAGATGTATTAAAACAAAAAAGGAAAAAAACACAAGGAAAAGTTGTAAATTCAGATGCAAATTATACCAAATTTCCTCCATATGGATTGAGAGAAACTATTGCCTGAAAGTAGAATAAGGTCACCATGTCTCTCAAAGCCATGGGGGAGGTCTGCCCTCAGCTCCTCTGTCCACTCCTCTCCTGTGGACTCCAGCAGCCTCTTTAAAGCTACCTCTAGTTTATTGATAGTTGTTTGTTTTTTCTTCTTTTTAAAATTCTAAAATACAAATGAAAAACATAATCATGAGTGAGCACACAGTGATTTGACATTAAAGCTGTGGTACCCAACTATCCACTATATAAACTCGCCCTCGTGTTTTAGGTCTTTTAATCATCTTTGGATCAGCTCTTAGCCCAAAGCCCAAATAGTGACTCACAGAGAGCTCTATCTTACAAGTATGCAAAAAGATCAAATGTTTTGTGGTTGTTAAAAATAAAAATGTTTATGCAAGACTTTCTATTGAAACACATACATTATTTGTATAGTTAAAAGACAAATAAATGTTAGGTACCCCAGCGTTATAATACCTGGCGCCAGACTATTTCACAGATAGTGCCAGATGCCACTGTGGACCTCAGATGTTGAATGTCCAGCTGTGGAATCCCAGTCTGTTGTATGGGCAGCAAAAGTGTCTCCTCTGTGTCTTTAAACAAGCGCAACCGTGTGTCTAAAATGTGGCGAGACTGTAAATATGACCTGTAAGATAATAGACATGTCATATCAGTTATATATCACTTTATTAAACTTGATGAGCGTGGTTAAAAAGTAGAAACGATACATTAGCAATGCTAGCACGTTAACAGTTCCCTCTGTGCTTTGTAGCGTGATATAAGATGATTGTTACCTGAAATGCTGTGCACAACACTGCGATACACGAAGACATGGAGTGTTTTCCATATTTATAAAACCAAACAAAGAGCCCAGGCTTTAGTTGGGTTACAAAATGATTCATAATGTGTTTCCAGTCGGAGCACTTTTGTCAACGCACACTCTGTGACACCTTCAGTCTCCAGCAGATGGCGCCATTTTCATGTGTGACATGTACTTTTAAACAATTATATATATATATATATATATATATATATATATATATATATATATATATATATATATATATATATATATATTGTGCACCTGTATTAAGTATAAAGTTATTAACTACTCTTCTACTGATTATTGATTTACACATCTAAGGCCAAAATAAAATAATAAATCAATATTTAAGACGGGGAACATAAGCCTAGTAGACTTGGTATAGGCCTGTATTAAATATTATACTTTTATATTTTACATCATTTATAGTTGAATTTTGAACTGAACACTCCTTAACCATGGTCTGAATAAAGACACAGCCACTTGGTCAACAGAGATCTCTTTTGAAGCATCAGATCTCCTCAGTTCAACTTGTTAACTTTGCATAATTCTGAGACCCATGAAAGCCGGGGTACCTTCAACCACAAAACTCATCTATGTATAGAGTCCATTAACTAACTACTGTCAAAACAGTTTGGCTATAGTTTTCACATGCATGCCTTTTTGGCCTCTACCACATCTTTAGATGAACTTCTTTCATACAGGAAAGTGAAAAAGATCCACCCTCACTCTCGCCCAAAACGTCAAATGGTGACTTGCAGGGCTCTTTGGCATGTTGTGGACTATTTTATTCACTATATTTCACTTTTCTACAAAGCTCTTTCTATGAGACAAACAATATGTATCACTTATCAAACAAAAGTTAGGTATCCCAGTTTTAAATGACGCTTTGTAATGTAATCTAATCTGTTATTTTTTGGACTGCACTGCACCACTCACTGTTGATACAGCTTGTTTTCCTATAAACAGTATTAAATGAACTCACAGTTTGTCAGGCTGGTGTTTTCTACCTCCTGTCCTGCCCCTTTAAGATTAGATATTTCAATCTAGGCGTGTTTCTGCTGCCATTGACCAAAGCTCCGGGAGAAGCCACAGAAAGCAGCGCAAAACCTGCCCTCTCTCTCTCTCTCTCTTCTGTGTAATTTCTCTATTTTCGTTGAAGGCAGTTGCTGTGATTGTGTCCATATATTACCTGGGGTTTTCAACAACATAGCCGGCCATTTTTTCCTGAGTGTTTGTTTGTGATTTTTGACGTGGAGAGATGACATGAGCCAGCCCGGGTCCGTAAATGCAACACTGTACAGATGTGCTCTTCCTCAGTCTCTCGTGGGAAACATCTGTAGCAGGTGATATTTTTTCCCCATTTTTCCCCATTTTCAACCATCTCTAGTGAATCGTATTTTTGAGCGTCACTGAGCCAAAGCCATGCTGCGGTAATAACACGGCGAACAGAAGAAAGACTAGAGCACTGGGGTATATGAATGGATGATGTGACTGCGACATTACTACGGGGAAAAAAATGGTTATTCGTTCGTCACATCTGCGGGACTCTTTGTTTTTGCATCATTGTTAATAACAGCGAGGACATTGTTGTATTTCTGTGAGCTTTCATCGTCCATCCAGCATCATGTCTGCGGTGATGATCGCAAAGAAGGTGCGCAAATGGGAGAAGCTTCCAGGCAAAAACACCTTCTGCTGCGATGGGAGGGTCATGATGGCCCGACAGAAAGGAGTCTTCTACCTCACACTCTTCCTCATCGTGGGCACCTGCTCCCTCTTCTTCGCATTTGAGTGAGTCCAATGATAATGATGATAATAATATGAATAATACTAGCACTGTGTCACTTCTTGCCATGTATTTTTCTATATCCCCATAAGCAGGTCTGGTGTGACATTGGCAGGCCTATATGAGAGCATAGTTATGGTTATTGGGCTGGTGGGCTCAATCAAAAACAAGAGAAAAAGCTATTTGTTTTTATTTATCACATCTGCAGATAAAGGAGAACGTACACTGAGCAGAAGATTGTGGCATTGCAAAGGTTACACACAATATGCTTATGTCTATGACTGAGTTTATGTAAAATGATGGCAAATTAAGAGTGGTACTCAAATCAAATCAAACTCAAAATTCCTCCATCCCTGAGGTTAATGTGGATATGATGCCTAAACACAAGTTCCCAGAGCTTTTGCCACATGCCCCTTTTACTCAACTAATGGGTTTGTTAGTCAAGTACATTAGACATTATTGCACATTAGTATTGCAACAAAATCTCATTATTGCTACATAGAGATGACACATACACAGTCTGTAGAGTGGAAGTAAAAGTAAAGCCTCATATCTAATGTCACCCAAAAGAGGCCTCACAAATCACTGCATGAAGGTATATAGGAGGATCATCAAGACTATTGGTCCTCCCAATTGCCAATCGTGATATATGCTCGTCTAATAATACTAGAGAGTTTTATTCAAAGAGGCCGGTTCTTTCCTAACAATCAGGATAATCCTCCTATATATCTTTAACTAACAACATTATGTGATTCTATTTGGTGGTTCTACTAGAAATTCTGTTGTTTCGATGTATTTGGTTCATAAAAAAATGTGTCCTATCCTGTTGCATAGATCAGATAATCGTGTAAAGTATTGTAAGCCATATCTTTTATATCACACTTTTTGTACACTCAAAAACGCTTCACATGACATAATTAATTTACTCCACACTCAGGGTTTGGTTTTTAATTTTGAGGCACCCTGTAATGTCCTATTTGTTTGTTCATTGTTATTGGACTAAAAGCAGTCTACACGCTTTAACAAAGATATTCAAGATTTTTGTCAACAATACACTTCATTTGTACACATCCAAACTTCTTCTCAGTCTTGAAAATGATTTGACTATAAGGATGTTGACTACTGCAGTGATAGTTGCTGACAATGTTTTGTTGCGTCCATAATGTGTACCGTTGTAATCTCTTTTTGAGGCTCTGTGTAATGGACCCTGCCGACTTCATATCTGCGTCCATATTGCTGCACACAAGCCTTTATGGCCTCTGTAAATGTAACGTGATGCTACAATCAGAGCTGCTGCCTTCTCTGGTGACCTGTGGCCCACTCCTGTCCTGTTACTGACAAATCTTTCCACTGAAGAAAATGCTTATGATTGATCTCTTGTGGAGAACTGGAGATGGTAAATATTTAATAGCTTTTGCAGCCCAGCGCCATGTTTGGTTCAAGCAAATCCGGCTATTACTCGTGTGGCTCGACATCAGAGCAAAGTAATCCCCTTTTCAAACCTTTGAATCTGTTGAAGTGGTTTACAGGGAATTATTGCTCGTTACACTATTTGCTCATAATGATGTATCGACGGGATGTTTTGATGCAAGGGTTCTGACGGGACACTTTGGCCTGTCACAAAAATTACTATAAATGATTTGTTGATGAACGTTTGTTGTAAAGTCGGGCAAAGAGAGGTTGTCTTCAGTTCTTCCTCCAGAACAATAAGAAAGAACAAGTTTCCCTCAGCGCCATGATCGGTGTCTCTCCATTCTAATGTCGAAACTGTTTTTTTTCTTTCAAAGGTGTAGATGTTTGTTGTTATACAACAACATTTTACCTGTATAAATAGCTCCTTTAACTCAATATTTGTTTCAGCTCAGGCCGTTTAACAATAATGTACAGTTTAGTCAAGAACAGTTTACTGGGATTATCCAGCGTCACTGATTTGGATGATTTGGAATCCATACAAAACGGGTTACTAAAGCCAGAGATGCTAACCTATGCTAACCAGAGAGGCACCTTAAAACAATGTATACATTGTAAAATAGACATGAAAATATTGATTTACATTTGGTGGAGTTGAAGTTGCCTCAATGACGATTGCCTGTTTTCTCACTAGAAAAGATTGCATAGTTGCTTCACAGGTGTCTAGACCACAATAAGAATCCACTCTCAGATGTTCACTTGGTGCTATTCTGTGGGGGTTCTGGGGATGTCAGAAGACTAGTCGGTATAAGACAATTTTCTCCACACATTGAAACTCATTTTGCTGATTGTGGCCTGTTGAATGTTGTTGTGGTGGTCACACCAGATACTGACCAGTTGTTGACCCACCCCAGACTCTCCAAAAAGGATAAGCTGAATGTCTGAGTTGTCTTCTCTCTTTGTTGATCTACACCGGTGCAGTATTCATGCTGTGTAGTGGAGGCAGTTACTTCCGATGATAAAAACAAATTAACAAAAAATTTAGAAATCTGATTATCGGTGTTACACAATACAATTTAAGCGGCTAATCTCAACAACAAAAAAGTAATTCTTTTATTATCAGGTCAGTGCCATAAAACGGTTTCAATGCACTGGATTCGTCCGTAGTGATATTACATGCATCAAAGTGTATTTGTGTGACAGGGGCTTGGTTTCTTGGTGTGGCGTTATAGAAGCAGATACCAGGACAATCTGATGTCCACTCGAGAGTAGCCTAGAACTCTACACTGCACTGGTATTGAGCGGAGACCAATTGGCCGGACGCACCACAACGGGGCCGGGGCCTGTGTACGCGCAGGTCCGTGTGTGCTTGTGTGTATGTGTGTGTGCACGGACCATGGCGTGGGCTAATGGCTGCCAGGCGCTCGCTGCTCTCTTCATATTACAACTGAACCTGATTATCTCCAACAGGGATGATATTATTGTTGAGATTAGGGCAGTCAACATGGGTTCACTTTCAAAGTCAGAGAGATCGGACAAAGCGGAGGCCGAGTGCTGCTTCTAATGGCACTTCATCTGTTTGGACTCGCTTTTAGTATTTTCACGCTTTGTCCTGGTTTGTGTCTGGTTTTAGCTAAGTTTCATTTAAGCAAAGACAAAACCATATCTGAAACTTGCTTCAACGTTGTGACTGTGAATTCATATACTTAAATGTTATACACAGTTATGGTTCATGAATGACGTTTGTACAATATATTTTTCTGGGATTCCAAATTGTGAGTTTCCTTGGTGTAAACGTGAACAGTTAATTCTAAAACTATATGTGATTCTTTCTTCTGTCTTTGAGAAAAAACTGGGAATGACATTCTGGCGAATCTGAATCCCATGTGATTCTGTGGTTCTTAAAAAAGTAAATATGTAAAGGCCATCTTTTGAATTGTATCCATATAATCGCTCTCTTTCTTTCTCATTCTACTTTGTTGGTAATCACTCATCTTGTTTTGGTGCATCTTTTTTTTAATCACCAGCCATCAGCATAAAGCACATGGAGCCCTCGCTAAGGTTTAATTTGTGCTAAACGGCGGAAACGAGCATCCATAAATGCATAAGAAAGTAATTGCTGTGTAACTGTACACAAGCTAAAACGATTAAAGGAGTTTGGATCTTGGAAGTGGGGATCCAGGAAAGCATGCACTCAGAATAAGACCAGTTATAGACTAGATAAGTTAAGACGCAGGAGGAGGGAAGCAAATCAAAATAAATACAGCATTTTTTTTATATGGATCGTCGCACTTGCCTTATCATTCAGAAAATTGGTGAAAAGCATCTTGACCTGTTTGGTGCCAGTGATCATGATCAATGGTAATAATAAATCATGTTGGGTTTAAATCCAAATGTTATTGCCATTGTGTAAATAGAATAGTGAGTTTGGAAGTGCTCTCTTGCTGGCCCTCAGCCCCACACACCATCGGGAGGCAGATCCTGGTCTCCGCTACACCAGCAGTAACATGATTTATGGCCCAGTGAGACCAGCTCCGTTTACAGCAGGCACCAGGCAGGCCTTTGTTCTGTGGAAGGCGCTCTGCTAGCTAAAGAGATGCTATTCTGTCAATTCAACATTCAAAAGAGAAATTATAAATATCTATCTTTTTTTCCTCATGTATTTCATTCATAATTTGACCCACCTTACATATGCACGTAGTGATGTAATCAGTAATCCACGCTTTAATCCTAGTCGAATAGGGGCCGAGATACTTTACAGAGAATAGGGACATTTTGCTGACATTTCGTCTCCTGCTCTAAGGTATTTAAATGTTGCGTAACGAAGAGTCACTTAAACCCAATGATATGTTTGAGCCATAAACATAATGTGTAAAAGCTGCCTGCGAAGGTTTAAATATATACCTAAAACGACATAATGAAAAGTATAAACCTGTATGTGTATAATCCATGATTCCTGCAGGTTGACATCGTTGCACAGATGTTAAGAATTGATAAGTTACAACATAAAACAAAGGGATAGTGTGGAGTCATTAATGACACCATGTAATCCTGGATAACCCCATGACATTAGAACATCAATGTGATTATCTATGTTTTTTCCCCGACAGTCTGTCCACACTTAACCCATAAAAGCTTTGGATATTTCCTATTTTTATGCAGTGCTTCTGTTTATTTTAAGCAGCTTTATTTCATCTGTAGATCAGTGAATTATCTTTTTCAGACGCAGTTCATTTTTATTGTGCCTCACAACCCATATTACATCATGCAAAAATCATCAAACATCAGAATCTACATAAACATTAAAAAACACATTTGGATATAAGCAAGATATATTAAAAGCATAAAAAATCACACAAGTAGTTAAAAACCGTAAAACATGAAAATCACACATGGGGTTAAAATCATGAATAGCCATAGTGCAAGATTAAAGATAAAAACCAAGATACAATCATTCAGTTGTATGCACAGCTAAACAGAACTGTTTTCAGCTTAGATTTGAAAACTGCCAGAGTAGACGCCTGTCTCACATTCTCGTGAAGACGGTTCCAGACTCTAGCTGCATGAATCTGAAACACAGCCTTGCCATGTCGAGTTCTGACTCTTGGCACCAGCAGGAGGCCAGTCCTTGTGCTCCTCAGAGCCTGAGTTGGCTCATATGGCACCAACATGTTGCGGATGTACCCCGATGCGAGGTCATGGAGAGACTTGTACACAAGCAGAGCTGTTTTATGCCTAGCATACATTGGACTGGCAACTGATTATATCCGTCGCATATGAGTTGCTGCCCCGCACACATCGACAATCTGGCGAAAATGGGCAACTCCCAGTAGCAGACCAGTCTCGGGAATAACAGCGCGTACATCGACAGCAAGTGGCCGTCAACTATAGTGTGTTTTCTGACATAAACACACATGTTGTTGGAGCGCGCACATCAGGTGATATCTCCGGATCTGAGGACAACTAGTTGCCGAAAAGTAGAACACGGGCAACTGACTGAATCCGGAGGTCGACTGTTTATCTCCAGTTGTAAGAGCGCTCACATCGACCTATTTCAACTGATCATCTCCCATCTTCTACTCTCAGTTGCCAAAAGCCGCCTTGCAACTAGTTGTCTCCAGTTACTCTTGTCGATGTACGCTAGGCTTTATATTCTCTGAGCCACAGGAAGCAGAGACCTGAGGACTGGACTAATGTGGTCGTACTTCCTAGTTCTAGTCAGGACTCGAGCTGCTTTGGTCCACAACTGAAAATACTTAAAAGTACTTCAGACATTTTAATATTTCTTCACACTCCATTTGATTTGATAATTGATCTGTCTGGAGATAATGTAGCAGTGGACTGAAGGCTGATTGGGTTTTGTGATGATGTCCCAGTTCCTCTGCACCTCAGGAAATGGTTGCACAGGAAGGAGGCAAGGGGCTGATGGGATGAACGATAGTGTGCTTCAAATACCAACCAGTCATCATTAAGGGAAATGAAGACCGCTCTGTGACACGGATGATGCACACATAACTCACCAGGCCTGTTGGTGGAAACTGAGATCGATCTGAACTCTGCTGCTTGTACTTTCCATTAGAGCAGAGCAGGAAGTGCAGGAAACGGCTTGGACCGGTCGAGCAGGTGTGCGTTTGTGTGTGTGTGTGTGTGTGTGTGTGTTTCCAGGTATGCCATCAAACTCGTGCACAAGGGGATGAGATAGAGGAACTTTGATATGTGTAAAAGGTTGAATAAGATTGTGTTGTCCAAGATCTGAAAGTTATTTCCTTCTGTTGCTGCAGAAGGAAATAACAACAAAGGATTTGCCTGTAATGCAGTGTAGTGTATCGTATCGTAGTGTATCGTATCGTAGTGTATCGTATCGTAGTGTATCGTATCGTAGTGTATCGTATCGTAGTGTATCGTATCGTAGTGTATCGTATCGTAGTGTATCGTATCGTAGTGTATCGTATCGTAGTGTATCGTATCGTAGTGTATCGTATCGTATTGTAGTGTAGTGTATCGTAGTGTATTGCGGTGCACTGTATCGCGGTGCAGTGTAGTCGATGATTAATGGTTTAAGGATGTCTTAGTATTTGATGTCTTACCTAGAGCTGCTTTGGCAACCCGACAGCCGACAAAGCTGAGGAAAATGGATGGATTGACCAGTGATGACTGATTGGATAACGCTTCACTCCACCATCCAAAACATACACCATATGTAACCAACATGCACTGTAGCAACCACTGCAGGGGAGGGCAAACCTTGGTAAGAGGACCCCTTTAGTTAACCAGACTAGTCCTGAGGCTGACAAACCAGACTGTAACTTTTGTGTTTGGCACATGGATTTACATAGTAGAAAACTGAAGATGGCTGAATGATACATGCTTACTTTCGTACTAGCTTAGCAATCAAGAATAAATGTGTGTCAAAGTCAACCACAATGGTGAAGCTGGATGACACTGTGGATGATTGGTATTTCAGAATGGGTCAAATGCATTTTTCCCCTACAGTGACGATAAAGTATACATTTAGCCTTAACCTACGGATGACACCGAGTGGGTTTGCTTGAAATATCTGGTAAATGTTGACTGCGCTTTTCCACTGTTTCAAGTTTTTTTCAGTTTCTCTAGATGCATTCATTTTCAAATTTTACTTACATACACTACTCTACTCATACTTAGACTAATTTGAAGATTAGTATTACTTTATGAAGTTCAAATTATTGTCATTACTAGTATTTCAATAAATCCCCGATATATTCACGCATTTAAATTACACAATAATAACAAACATGCCTCATTGAACGTCTCTTCAGATCCTGTTCCCAATTATCACGCTGAAAATCCCAACATAATTCATACATTTTACAATATGCAGCAGTTCAAGCCTATTTCTCACACATTCACGCATCCTAATTATTCACTGCAATGTGTTTTATACGCTTTTTCACAGCCTCCACTGCAGTTTTATCATGGTGCTGTGAGCCTTAACCACGTTAGCGACGCACTTCCAGTTTCTCTCACAATAAAAGGCAAAACAAATGACTCTTTGTGACATCAGCCACAGATTTTAGAGGGTACATGCACTGGGGAAACAACTTTAGCAATTTTATGTGGAAAAATAGTCTGGCACAAGCTCTTTAACAGAATAATACTAAATTATATACCCTTTATGGTTTACTTTATTTGTGCAGACATCGCCTTGAACACTCAATAAAAAGACTATCTCAAGCTACAGCTGGTTTGGGCTGTATAAACTTGGTCTGTATAAACTGTTGTGGAACATGATGCATTATGAATATCAGACCCCAACAGATCAGAGAAGGCCACACTTTAAATATTCATCAGAGGATGCAAAAGCCAGGGCTGTTATGCTTTCCCACATATACTATGCAGCTGTTATCGCTCTGGGCAGCAGGCCTAGTGCTGAAAGACCCATGGACTCGGAAGAGACTGGCGCTGAATCTGCTTTTCATTCGGTTGGGCTTCAGCAGAGTTCACGGCCTTCCACAAGACCGTATGTCCTCATAGTGTGTCAGTCCAACATCTGCACACCTCAGTCCTCTGTATATTCTGCACCTGGACCTGGAGTAGTTCAGTCAAAGATTTTTCATACAGTTGTGTATGAAAATGTACCCATTGGAGATTATGAATTATAATGTAACAACAGCGTTGTTGCCTATTGCTAGGGCTTTTATTGTTCTATCCATTTTAGAATTATAATGACAACAGCACTATTCCATGACAATGTTTAGAACTTGCCATCCCCCAGTTCTCAATATTGTCCGTTTAACATCCTTATCAGGTTTGAGTCTTTTGTGGGAGTTGTGGACGAGGTTCTTTATCCCCTCTGATGGTATAGCCCTTTAATTGTTTCTTTTGAATGAATAAACGGAGTAATAAAAAGCTGCCCATTATTTTTGGCACAATAAGTTCCTGTAAACTCCTGGGCCGCCTTGCACAAACAGTACATTCAATCATGTTATAATTTTAAATGCAAACCACATTTTTTGACAACCTTCACTAACAATGTGTGAAAAAGGTGTCTCTGTATCATTCATAAACTCAAATTATGGTCACTGGTGTGTAAACTTTCAGCACAATTGTATTTGTTATTGGTTGGTATCTCATGAATAATCTTCAAAGTTTCACATTGGGTCAAGATTGTCCTAACAGTCTTTCAAGTCAAGCCTCAAATATGACTGAGATATGGCTCACAAAAAAGCTCAAGAAGGCGTCACTTGTGATCCAATTCCGGACACTATTTACTATTTTAGATTCTAATCACAGACAATATTTCTGTCTAAAACTTTTGAAATAGTGATAAATCTCTTTCAGATTTTTGTTCAACACTGCAGCGACACTAATGATTCATGGCGCTTGTATAGTATTTTACATGACACCTTAAGATGCTTGAGACTAGTTTTATTCTTTGTCCAAACCCCTAACTCTCTTATTTGTTCTTTGGCAGGTGTCCATACCTGGCTGTCCACCTGTCTCCAGCCATCCCAGTGTTCGCCGCCGTCCTCTTCCTCTTCGTCATGGCCATGCTGCTCAGAACCAGCTTCAGCGACCCGGGGGTGCTGCCGCGAGCTCTGCCAGACGAAGCCACGTTTATTGAGATGGAGATTGGTAAGAAGCCTTTTCATTTGTACACAAAGCCGGCTCCTTGCTAAAGCTGATCGTAAAAACCTAAGGAGAGTGTATCTGCTTTCACGGAGTACTTTAAAAAGTCGGACCACTTAGAAGACCCATGAGAAGATGGCGCCTTCTGACCCTTTCAAAGATGTCACATAACTTTGTCTTCGCACTCAAACTTTGGAACAGCAATGGAATAGTTTAAATTTACAAAAACAGAAAAGTGCCATAAAAGAGATATTTGAAAGGCTTTGAATTTGCTCTTATTTTAGTGCCATAAGAATAATGTTTCTATCATAGGAGCCTACTTTTGGCAATTTTTTAAATTCTTAATCTTTAATTCTACGTCATGGTGCTACGTCCCTTAGGACTTCGCTAGTGGGATATCACTCGTGACCCCCAGGTCACACGCCAGAGAGATCAAAATAATTTGCTCCAATCACCAGCCACCTTCCTCTATAAATGCCCCTGCACAAGGCCGCACCCCCTCTTTCACTCTGGCGCCGTTTGAGATCTACCACAGTACTTTATTCAGAGATGTCTTCCTTGTTCGTCCGAGTTCCCTTCGCCCTCCGGCGTCGGACGTTGTCACTGGATCCAGACGGTGGAGGACTTCACCTCTGTGGGTGCCACCACTCGAGGAAGGAGGAGGATGCCTAAGCCCCTAGCAGCCAAGAGGCCTGCTCTGGGGTACGACATGTACTGCAGCGGGCAGGACTGGTCCTGGACCGGTGATTGAGGATTCAGTCCGCATGGCCCTGCAGCCCTCCGCATCCGTGTGGCCCGGCACCAGACCTCTCCTTCTCTCCGAGCGGGACAGGATGTCTTGTCGAGGCTGGATAGATATTAGGCCAATGCGGCACAGGTCGTCACATTGGCTAACAACATGACTTTCATCACGGGGGCCCTGGATAGGGCGCTCTCCTCTGGCCAGGCGCTCTCCTCTGGCCAGGCGCTCAGTGGAGACCTCCTGTCACAGGCGAGGACCACCTCGGCGGCGACTCTGCGCATGTGCCAGACGCTAGCTGTGGATGGTGGCCGCTCCATGGCAGCAGCCCAAGTCGGGCCAGGCACCTTTGGTTTGGGCTGGCTAATATCAGGGAGGCGGAGAGGAGGCAGCTGCTGGACCTGCCCACCTCTCAGATGTCCCTCTTCGGCCCGGACATGCAGGCCTGGGTGGCGAGACTGGAGTCTGCAGCTAAAGACTCGGCTAGGCTAGCCCCGCACCTAGCACCGAGGCGCGAGGCCCACCAGCCATTACGGAGCCGGGACAGAGGCAGAGAGCGTTGGCCCGGGAGGCATCCTGACCTGTATCCGCGCTCTGTTATCCATCGTCCCCCCCTCGACGAGGCCCCCGGATCCAGACAGACCCATGGGTGGCTCGCGGGAGCAACGCACCCACCACCGACCTCCCTAAGGTAGAGGAGGCCGGGGTGGAAAAATTTTTCCTTCAATAAAGGCCGACCGGCATTTCATCATTACTTTTCTGAGTCTGATTTGGGGGTATGTAACATGTCAAATATTGTGAATTCTGATTGTGTTACTTCCCGGGCACATACGTTGCTTCGCTAGGCCTGCAGCCCCAGAGAGGGGCGTGCAGTGCACTACGAGCTCCGGTTTCTCTGATCCATACTATGCCCTCCCAGAGAGAGGTCAGGGGGAGGGATCTGGTGAGTGATATGTGTGTGCTTCGGCCGAACGCGTGTTAGCATCTCTGAGCTACAGGGCTAACACGGGGTTTCCCACTCCAGGGGCTCGCCCCCCCCTCCATGAGGCAAGAGCCAGGGGGGGGCACAGCAGCCGAGTCACGTGTGGTGAGCAGAGCTACAAGGCTAACACGGGGTTTCCCACTCCAGGGGCTCGCCCCCCCCTCCATGAGGCAAGAGCCAGGGGGGGGCACAGCAGCCGAGTCCCGTGGGATGAGCAGTCCCGTACTTATGACGTCGGGCCTGCTGGACACGTGACCGCCCCCGGCGCTCACGGTGTGACGCAGGGTGCCCCCCCGGCCCTTTCGTCCACCCCCCCTCCCTGCTAGGAACACCAGGAGAGGGCGGGGCCGTGACGTCTCGTGTTCCAGCTCCCGTTCCGCTCCTCACAGACTTCTACAGCATCTGGAGGGAGCAAAGATGGCTGACATATCTATGGCTGGAGAGAACACTGCGCAGGGGTTGCGCACTGCAATTCTCCCAGAAGCCACCACCATTCCGAGGCGTACGGGCAGCACGCTCTCAAGTATGGGGTCATTAGAGGGACTGCAAGCGGAGGTCTCCTCTCTGCTGAGTCTAGGCGCAGCAGTAGAGGTAGACCCGCAGGAGGCCACCAGGGGGCTGTACTCCCCTTACTTCTTAGTGCCAAGAAGTCAGGCGGGGTGCGTCCCATTCTGGATCTGCGCGTGTTAAACGAGTGCATTTCCAAACGGCAGTTTCGGATGCTGCCCACAAAGCAGCTCCTCGAGTGTGTCAGGCAGGGAGATTGGATATCCTCCTTAGACCTGACAGATGCGTACTTCCACGTGCCGATAGTACCGGAACACAGGAGGTTCTGCGCTTCGCAGTGGGAGAGAGGAATTACGAGTACTGTCGTTTTCCCCTTGGGCTACGCACTCGCGCCGTGGAGCAGGGGTAAGAATTTAACCTACATAGACGTCGGGTTAATTCTGGCCTCATCCAGGGAAGTGGCCGTGAGTCATACGTACTGGGTCCTGTCCCACATACAGCGCCTGGGCTTTGCGGTTAACAGGGAGAAAATTAACAGTTACCTTTGTAACTTAAGTTCTACGAATAGGTGCACGTGATATCCCACTAGCGAAGTCCGCTAGGGGACGTAGCACCATGACGTAGAAGCAGGCTGCAACCGGCTCAGCGCATGATCTATCTCGGTCTGCAGCTAGACTCTGTGACATTCCGTGCTGCATGGTCCGTGGACAGACGGATGAACACTACTCGTCTGCTCGGGGAGGTTCTGGCGGGCCCCAGAGTCCCCGCTCGGCGCCTCAGGTCCCTGCTGGGAATGATGGCGGCGGCTCATGCTGTGGTGCGGCTAGGCCTTCTCCACATGAGGAATTTTCAGAGGTGGTTCTCACGCCTCAGGCTTCACCCCTCCCGGGACGGGGGGAGGCTGATCTGGGTTCCCCAAGTGGCAGCATCGAACATCAGGTTCTGGCTCACTCCGGGTCTTCTACGGGACGGAGTGACTCTGGCCGGCGCCGTGTCTCACGTGGAGATGTTCACGGACGCGTCGCTCGAAGGATGGGGCGGGGTCCTCGGCCAGAGTTCTGTAGGAGGCTGCTGTCGGACTCAGCCCGTCACATCAACCTGCTGGAGATGGAGGCAGTGCACAGGGTACTGCTGCACTTTGCTCCTTAGCTGCAGGGGAGACACGTGATGGTGCGCTCAGACAACACCACAGTGGTCTCCTATCTGAACAGGCAGGGGGACACCAGGTCCCCCGCTCTCCATCGCATGGCGAAGGTGACGCTGCTGTGGGCGGCGCTTCACCTCCTGTCTCTCAGGGGGCGCCACGTCCCGGGGGTCCGGAACGTGGGGGCCGACAGGATGTCCAGGGGGGGGGCCCACTCCAGGACGAGTGGGGCCTGGCCCCAGGGGTGGCTGCGGAGATCTGGCGGAGGTTCGGCCGTCCAGTGGTCGACCTTTTTTCGCCAGTGCAGGAAACGCACAGTGCCCGTCCTGGTTCGCCTCAAGGGCCGCGGACCAGCCGCCTTTAGACGTGGACGCTCTGGCTCTTTACCTCTGGCCAGGGGGCCTGCTGTACGCGTTCCCCACCAGTGCGTCTCCTGCCGGTCCTGCTGCGGAGGATCGAACAGGAGAGGAGGTCGGTGATCCTGGTGGCGCCGGACAGTCCGCATGCCCGGTGGTTCCCCTTCCTGAGGGGCATGGCGGTGATGGAGCCCTGGGCCCTCCCGGACGAGCCGGGGGCTCTAGTCCAGGGGGGGAGGAGCCCTGTTTTCACGCCCGATAATTGGCCGCAGGCTCTGGGTTGGAGGCTGAGAGGCGGAACCTCGTAGACCTGGGTCTTCCCCCTGCGGTGGTGGAGACCACTCAGGGGGCGAGGGCGCCGTCCACTGTGAGGGCCTACGCCACGAGGTGGAGGCTCTTTAGCGACTGGTGCGGTTTTCGTTCCTGGGATCCCAGGCGTTGCCCGCTGGAGGGGGTCCTGGGATTCCTACAGGAGCTCTTTGACAAGGGGAGGGCTGTCGCCACCTTGGCGGTGTTCGCGGCAGCCATTACTTCGGGTCACGACGGATTCGGGGGGTTCACAGCCCGCTCTCATCCGTTGGTTAAACGTTTCTGCGGGGGGCACGCAGGAGGAGGCCCCCGCTCCAGAGAACGCCCCGGTTTGGGACCTCAGGGTGGTCCTTAGGGGGCTGTCGGGTCCGCCTTTTGAACCGGCGGCGGAGGCGAGTCCCGAGTGTGTCGCTTAAGACGGCCCTCTTGTTGGCGTTGGCGTTGGCGTCTGCTAAGAGGGCGGGCGACTTGTGTGCGCTCTCTGTCCATGCGTCTTGCCGGTCCTTGGAGAGGGCGACGGCATGGTGGTATTGTGGCCCAATCCGGCTTTTCTCCCCAGGGTCATCACGTCGGCCTCAGGTCGAGAGTCATCAGGATTAGGACTTTCTATCCGCCACCGCTTGCCTCCCCCGAGGAGGAGCGGCGGCACCTTCTGTGTCCTGTCAGAATGCTTAGGCATTACCTGGCCATGACGTCGTCATTCAGGTTGGGTGGCCAGCTGTTTGTGTGTCTGGGCCCCAAGAACAGGGGCGCCCCGCTGTCGGCTCAGCGGCTGGCGCACTGGGTTGCCACGGCTGTGCGGCGGGCGTATCAGACGCAGGATCTGGCCCTCCCGGTGGGCTTCAGGTCGCATTCCACGCGTGGGATGGCGGCCTCTACGGTCCTTCTCAGGGGGGTGTCGGTCGAGGACGTATGCCGTGCGGCTTCTTGGGCTTCGTCCTCCTCTTTCGTCCGGTCTTATCTTTGGAT